CGATAGTATTTTGTTTCTAACGGTTTTTATACAAATGTCGACCAATGAGTTGTGTACACGGCGACGTTATTACCATATAAGGACGTAGAGACGTGTCAGGGTGCATTATGAGTGTCGGTCGTTCATATTTTGTTTCTAACGGTTTTTTTTTCTTCAAATATCTAGCAATGAAAAATCTTGCCTGGAAATAACTATTTCTTTGCAAAATAAAATCTGATTAAATCGAAATGTAAATTATGATTACAAACTCAACATTCATAATACAACTTTTGATATTGTCAAATCTGTCCACAAATATTATTTTCGTTACTTGAGATTTGATCAACAATGATAATATAATTATGGAGTAACATAAAATAATTTAGAAATTTGTTGTGTTGGAACTAAAATATCATATGTTTACCCTACAGCAATATTGATCAAAGGTGTAATTAATTATAGCTACTTATTGTTAGAATGTATGAAAAATTAAGGAAAAAACTTACAAATTTACAGAAGACCAATAGACTGATGTGTACAGGACGACGTTGTTTATATAAAAGGACGAAGAGACGCGTCAGGGCGAATTATTAGTGTTAGTCGATACTATTTTGTTTTTAACGGTTTTTATTCAAATATCGACCAATGAGAAGATGTGTACAGGATGACGTTGTTTATGTAAAAGGACGAAAGGACACGTCAGGCTGAATTAATAGCGTTAGGCGTTAGTATTTTGTTTTTAACGGTTTTTATTCAAATATCTACTAATGAAAACTATCATGTATGTATACATCAAGCTTGACTCGAAATAAAAATTTCTTCTTAAATGAGATTTAGTTCCTTAGTAACAGAAATAATTCAAACATAATATTAATCATAATTTCATGTAAGTGGACAAATTAGTTTTAAAAGTTATTAAATAATTAATGATGTATCTGCAAAAAAATTTCGAAGCAATGAAACTTATCATTCGAAGCAATGTACAGAATCATTCGAAAGGAAAAAAAATGTTTTTTGGCCACTTGTAAGTGGACAAATTAGTTTTAAAAGTTATTAAATAATTAATGATATATCTGCAAAAATTTTCGAAGTAATGAAACTTATCATTCGAAGCAATGTACAGAATCATTCGAAAGGAAAAAAAAATGTTTTTTGTCCACTTGTAAGTGGATGTACAGAATCATTCGAAAGGAAAAAATTGTTTTTTTTTCCTTTCGAATGATTCTGTACAATTTACATAACCAAATGAAATGGGAAATATTTAGAATCCAGTGTTTGCATAGGTTAGACCCAATCAATAAGTGTTGGTGTAGGAGTATTAATATGCGTTACACTAGTTTCTTTCTAATTTTTGACCCAGTTATTGTATTTTATGTCTCTTAGAGAAAAAGCACACAAAGTCTCACATGCAGGGCTTCATTCATTTTTTATTAAATTAAGCGACACAAATGGTCAGCTTAATCCGATTTATCAATCGTTTGGTTAAGCTTTGGCAAAGAAGGACAAGGGGACGATTTATATTTCGGGAGCAAGAATTTCTTATCAACATATTTTTATTATAGCTATTATTATACATGTATAAATGGTGTGTTCTTTTTGTTCTAGATTAATTTAGTTTACTCGACATGGATCAAAAGAAGAACTCTAAACATCGTGGTGAGTTATATGTTACATCTTCTTTATAGTACTTCTTTATTTTTTTTTTCTTCTTCGGTCTTCACAATACTAGACTTTCTCTCCGACTCCCGAGAAAGTGAACTCTTTGAAGTTCACGATTTGCATATCATGTATAACAGTCATGCGTTCCTATGTGTCTATATTGCGAACGCTGATAAATATTCCAAATTAATTACATTACGCTTACAATGTGCTCTACTACCAAATAATCTAATATAGTGATCAAATTCATATACTTTCAGTGTTAATTAATTATAATCAAGAACAATCATGTGTAATTGGCGTGGTAAATCGTATATTGTATTTAGGAAATACATGTTGCATGTACTTTAGTAATCTTACCTACAAAGAATATTGTAGTGAGCATTGTGTGTCATATATCTAAATACCTGTTATCTTTATTACTACAATATGCAATCGCTTCCTTACTAGGATTTCTAGTTATACATTCACCTCTAAACTTAAAGTATTATGTGTTAAATGTATTTTTCTTTGTTTTATTGTAAAATTTATGAATATATTTTGTATAGGAGGGACCGGAGCTGGCGGTGAGACTCACTCCTCTAGGCATTCGGTGAATTCGAGTTCCGGTGTGCTCATGGTGGGACCTAACTTCCGGGTCGGCAAGAAAATCGGCTGTGGAAACTTCGGCGAGCTCAGATTGGGGAAGAACCTCTATAATAATGAGCATGTCGCCATTAAGATGGAATTAATGAAGTCTAAGGCACCGCAGTTGCATTTAGAATACCGCTTCTATAAACTCCTCGGATGCAATGGTAGTCGCGAAAGTGAATTGCCTCAGACCCCAAGGCATTGTTTTTTTATTAATGTATATATTTTTTAGAGGGTATTCCCGATGTATATTATTTCGGTCCATGTGGGAAATTCAATGCTCTTGTTATGGAATTGCTGGGACCTAGCTTAGAGGATCTCTTTGATCTGTGCGAACGTAGATTTACTTTGAAGACAGTACTCATGATCGCCACGCAGCTTCTACATAGGATCGAGTACGTCCACGGTAGACACTTGATCTATCGGGACGTGAAACCGGAAAACTTTCTCATCGGCCGCAGTACAACAAAACGTGAAAAAATCATCCATATTATAGGTAACGAACAAAACTACAATAATGTCGAAAAATGAAGCGTTGACGAACTAATTGGAACGTTCTGGATTTTTAGATTTTGGTTTAGCTAAAGAATACATAGAACTAGAAACAAACAAGCACATTCCCTATAGAGAACATAAATCTTTGACCGGTACCGCACGCTACATGTCCATCAACACCCATCTAGGTAAAGAACAATCCCGCAGGGATGACTTAGAAGCATTAGGACACATGTTCATGTACTTTCTCAGGGGCTCATTGCCTTGGCAAGGCTTAAAGGTATCCAACATATTCAATGGACACTTGTCTTGAGATGCATTAAAATTAAATTACCTACTATTTAGGCGGATACCCTTAAAGAACGTTACCAAAAAATCGGAGACACCAAGCGTGCAACGCCAATTGATGCATTATGTGAGGGACACCCTGAAGAAATGGCCATATACCTCAGGTATGTGCGACGACTGGACTTCTTCGAGACCCCCGACTACGATTACCTTCGTAAACTATTCACGGATCTTTTCCAAAGAAGAGGCTACATAGACGATGGCGAATTCGATTGGACTGGAAAATCAATGGTAATTTTCATAAATAATAAGTTAAAACTGAAGCAAAAGCACAAACGAAAGATAATGTTAACAGTGATTATCAATTACCTAAATTTCACTTAATTTGCATGCATGGATTAGCCACCAAGTATATATCTATTACAACAAGTGCGCAATGCACCGCCCTCTAATAAACTAAAAACCAAATCCGACAAGGTATTGTACCTGTAAAGAAGCTCGATACCGCTTTTAAGATTATTAGAAAAGAACACAACTAATGGATTTCTTTGTTTGTTTGTTTTTTTTTTCATACAGAGTACCCCAGTGGGATCTTTACCAACGACCGGTCACGAGGTAGTCGTTTCACCTAACAGGCATGTTCCCAACAAGGTAGGAAAACTGTCAACTCTTGCAAATAAATACATGAATGTCCATTATCTTCTACAATTTGCAAATTCCATTAATTATTACAATCAAATCCAGGGTGGTGAATATTTATCTGAGGATGATGATGTTTTTCAGCAAGTCATTTTGTTATCACAATATCAGGTACAGAAGTATCTTTGCTAGAATTGTACTCTTACGCTGTTATCCTATCCTGTTCAATTTTATGAATCATATTTACTTTGATATTACGACTTGATAAAGCAACTCTAATATTTTTTCGATTTTTAGACGACCGGAAAAGGAAATGCATGGCCGGAAACTTCGAAGCAAAGTACTTTAGGAAACTTAACTCCTGCCGACCGCCACGGGTCCGTTCAAGTGGTGAGCTCCACGAATGGAGAATTAAACACGGACGATCCGACTGCCGGTCATAGTAACACCCCTATTACTCAACCCCAAGAAATAGAGCTACTGGATGAAACTAAGTATATTGATAATAACGATGTTAGTAGATGTGCTGATGTCGCGTTGTATTTTAGGTGCTGTTGTTTCTTCAAAAGAAAGAAGAAGAAAGGAGTACGCACTAAATGACTACAATATAACGAGACAGACCAGCACTTAACACTGTTACCGTGTGGTCATAGTAGCGCTGCTACTCTTAACTGACTCTAGTTTTAAATGAAGACCAACGTACAGTTGTTATTATGTTATGTACTATTTAAATAGGTAAATGTAGGTTAGTCTTAATTTAATATTTAAGATATGTTTTAAGTCGTTATCATATCTATGAATGTCGAATGAGCCTTACTCGTATGCTAATTGTTCGGTTGATTTGTAGTAACGAAAGAAAGACACCAGAATCAATTATTTTCAACGTATCCCCCTTATTATTATTCTATATATATTTTTCTTCTTTTTTTTTGGATTTATAAGAAATGTGTATATTATTAATTAATTAATATTGTTTACCAAATATTAATATAGCTAAGGATTCTGTTCTTCGAATGTTCATATAACTAGTATGTATATTTAAAGCAAAAAAAAATAACAAAAAAATGCAAAACATAGGGAAAACATTGTAATAATAACGCTGCGACTACTCTACAGTAAAATATTGGCAAAAAAATGATGTTCTCGTTCGATAATTGCATAACGCGCGATTTTATTGTATATATACACGCATATATATATATTAGACAAAAAACAAATTTATTATTACTTTTTGCAATGATTATTTTTCTTTTAGTCATCTTAATTTATTGAGTTCCTTTTAATTAGCATCATGCGATAATTACCACGAGTAAGGTTTTTGGATAGTAATTTACTCCAGATTTGTAAATATTTGAACAAACAGAGAGACGACAAAAGAAAGTTAAGCGGAAAAATGTAGCGGGATGAAAAAAAAAACAAATAATAATTAAAACGAAACCTAAAGCCTTTGCAGCAAACGGTGTTTACTCTATCTCTGTTTCTCATTATATACACAAAAGAAGGGTTGACAAAAAAAAGGTTAAAATGCAAATAAGAAAATTTCAAAAACAAGCAAAATTTAAGTAGGAGCACGCATCGTTATGGGAAATGCCAAAATTTTATTACCGTGTTTTTCATAGGTACTATAAAACAAACGGAGGGAGAAGCTTTTCCAGTCCAAAATATTTACATACTATATATTTATATATATATAATTAAATATATATACATATGAATATTTCTACTGTCATATTGAATGTCCACTGGGACTTTATCGTTTTTTTTTTGTTTGTTTTGCTATGCGAAAAGTTGAAAAGCTCGGAGAGGAAAAGCTGATGAAGTCAATAATAATAAAACAAAAAAAACGCCTTATTGTGTTGTTTGCTTTTTGTAATCCATCTTGTAAGTGTTTTTTTAATGAACCATCCACTTAATTATATATATATTTATATATATAGGAAGCTCTTAAGTTGGTTAAATTTTGGCCACATCATCTATATTTTGTTTGTTTTATTTTAAATTAATTTATTAAAAAGTTCTTTTTTTTTACGTTTATTTGTTTCACTTTCATATTGTTTAGATTTTATCATGGCCGAGTATTTTCGTTCACGTTCAATATTAGGATGTTGCTATAATTTAAAGTATGTTATGGGGCAACGAGCTTTACTATTGTTGATCTCCATTAAGAAAGATACAAACAAAAACAGAGACTTAAGGTCGCCTGCTTAAACCTTCACCTATATATGTATATATCTAATCTTATTTTTTTTTCTGTTGTTTTTTTATGGACAATTGTGTATGGCCTCATTTGTGTACGAGTTTTAATTTTCGTTTATTTTGTTCTTGTTTCATTTATTATTTCTTTCTGTTCAAGCTATTCTTTAATTATAGAAAAAAAAATATAGAAATCTTCTGCAATGTTTTCATTGAATCCCAAGTCTTATGTAACGTGCAGGTACATAAACCTGTGTTTATATTTTCATATATACGAGGAAAACAAAGGTGATATATAATAATTCGTGTTTAATATTGTTTCCACATTGTACTAAGGTTTCATTGAATTCAAGTGAATCGTAATTTATATAATTAAAAAAGAAACAAACAAAATAAATTCAATTTGAATTTGCACTTTCGTCGTTTAAATCAATCGGTATTACCATGTATAGCAATCCTGGGTGTTGCGTTTGTTAGGAAATTCCAGTGGTCAATTGCTCATCATGATGAGTCAACATACTTATTGAATAATTTTCTGCCACAAATCAGCGTAACAAAGGATATGACATACAAAGTTTGTATCATTGGATACCATTTAGTGACGTGGATTTATTGCTTTCATTCTAAGTTGAATATTAATATGAGTAACGTTTAAATGTAGCCAAAATGTATATACTTCAACTATTTAACTGTTAACACTTTATAAAAGTATTTGACCGGCAGAATTATATCTATTTGTACTACATAATAAATGCTCTTTGAAATCACGTGTACCATGCTCTTTCTTTGTATTTCATAAATGTTTAACACAATTATATCCTCATATTCGAGCAATTCTAATATGTTACTATTTCGAAACATTATTCTTATGTAACTTATGTTTCCTTTTTTTTTTTCCTGAATACCAACTCTGATGTTTCTCACATTTTAAAACATGATCCCAACTTTTTATTTAATATAAATATATCTTCAAGCGGCAGACATTAGACAATAAGAGTGTAATAAATAAATTGTACTAGAAATTAAAAATACTATGTACAAAGCAAAAGCAATCTGCAAAACATTTTTTGTAAACTTCAACAATAAAAATTATTTACATATTTGAAATTTATTTATTTTTTTAATAACCTTAATCATTATATTAGTACAAGTTCTTTCCCTTATCACTATTTATATTAATATTATACTCTATATATATTAGACAATTTGAATATACATGAACATTTCTTTAAGCTTTCCTTGATTACTAGATTTATTGGATTGGTATTTGAAGTATATTGTCATTAGGATTAATATCCTATACAAAGGAAAATATTATAATTAGTATCAGCCATAAATTATACACCGGGACACCGGTTAATCGCGTATTAGGGACAAATTCTAAAGAACGGAAACAAAATCGATCTTCGGATAATTAGGTCAGCCACTTAATCGAAATAAATATACTAGTCCCGATCAAGCGGAATCACCTGTATTTTTAATGATACTAGATGAAACGGATCAATATTATAATAAAGACTTTGATGGAAATTTGGGGCAAATCCTTGGAATAAATAGACTTTACTATCACATGTATACACAGTTGATTCCGCTTAATCGAGACAGCCGCTTATTAGGAACAAATCCTAAAGATCGAAAAAAAAAAACGCAAATAACAAAGGAAGGGGGAACGTTTAATCGGGACAAATATACTAGTTCCAATTAAGCGGAGTCATCTGTCTGATTTTTTTTGCTAAAACTTAATGTATCTTCTGAGATAATCAAATTGAACATTTAACAAACTTTTCTAAATAATTATGATATAATAAAGGAATTGGTAAAAATATAAACTTTCAATATTAATCAAATTAGTTTATTTCTATATAAAATTAATTAGATACTATTAGAAACTATTTACAAATGTACAATTTTCCCATGAAAGTACCTTCGCCCAGGACAATCTACAGGAAACTACAGGTCGTTCGATGAAGTATGCTACTACTTATTGCCTGTAAAATGTGGACATTTTTATTGTGCATGGGTTGAGTTCCTCGTCGAAAAGAAAAAAAGAACAAACAGAATACGTTTTTTGTATGCTGTAGAATCCCGGCTTTGTGGTTTATTTTATGTTTTGTACTAAGGTTTGATTCAAAAGATGTAAAAGAAAACGGCGGCATCGTACGACCCGTCGTCTTCAATAGCCCCGGACCCAATGTTACTCCTCCATTTTTATTAATTTTTCTCAATTTTCTTATATAATATATTTTTATTTATTTTTCCCTGCTTAATAGTATTTGTTTTAAATTTTCATTTTATTGAACGTAGATCAGTCTTTAGCGTTGCAATTTCACGTGTATGTTTCCTTTTCTTTCCAGAGTGAACTCTTTTCAGGAATTCCTTAAACCCAACACAATCAACGAAATGAACTGATTATATAAGAAGCGACTGAATTAATATATGATTTCTTTTCGTACTTTACACATTTTTACCGTTATTGTTTTGTTGTTTTTTGTCTTGCATTACACAAATTAAAGCAAAAACGTTCCTGAAAAAATACAATAATATATATACGATAGATAATTTATCCTAGGATACTAAATACAAAAGTAGTGTAATGAAAATACAGGAAAGGTCAAACACAATGTAATATTAATACTTAAGTCACTGTGGGTGAGTGTACCGTGCAATATTCACAATTAATAATTGTACTTATTCCCCTAGTTTGTTTGTTATATTTCATTATCATACTTGTCATTCACATCAATGTATAAAAATAAATGAATACCAGAATGTCCGAATATAATATTCTCTTAATATTCTTTTTTTTTTGGTTTTGTCCGATTCTTGAAAAACACTTTCTTATTTTAACATTTAAACCACAAAATACTGTTCCGTTCATCCTATTAAAAAAAAAAACAAACAGGAAAATTAATAAAAATAATAGAAGTAATGATAGTCATAAAAGAAAATCGTAAAAAAGTCTACGAATGTGCAGAAATTAATATTAGAAAACGTAAGTCACAAACATAAATTATAAAGAACATTGTTATAAATAATAACAAATGAATAAATGACAATAAATAATATAAGTTTCTTCCACTGTTCACTGGAAGTTCCTAGTAAAGGAACGATTGAGTTATTTTTGGTACAAGTCCAAAATATAAATTTCAACCTGGATTCCCTAGATCTTACTAAATTATCACAAAAAAATAAAAATTAATTTAAAAGAAATCGCATTTTAGAGACGAATAATCCGATATAAAATAATAGATTTACAGGTGATGTTTTCTTAATCATAATTAATTAATTCTAATTTAAGTAAAAAAAAAACATTGATATGTAAACTAGTATTTTACGTATTTAAGCTCTTCAACTCAATAACATGCAATTCATTTGTTTCTGACATGGATTTTAGTTTTTCTGTATCAGGCGAACATGTTGAACAAATGTAGTCCTCGTCTTCATTAATGTCCTTCGCTGAAAGTCCAACACATGCCATATGAAACCACTGTTCACAGCCACCATCACACTGAACCCAATCAACTTCATCTCCTGAGGGTTGCAAACACGTCGACACTGCACACATTGCGTCCTCGTCACCTTCATCGTCGTCTTCTTCCTCGTCACTTTTTGTTTCACCGTTAGCTTTGGATTTTCGTTTACGACTTTGCTGTCTTATAGTATTTTCTTTTGTTTTACGTGGCACTCGAACCTTCTTCGAGGTCACATCCCTTTTTACTTTGCATCCACTGGTTTCTGGCTCTTCTGATCGCCTTTTCTTACCTTTTTTAACAGGCGTGGATATGGGCACAGTTGCAGTTGAAACATCGGCTACCGCCTAAATAAAAACATTCATTTGCATTAGAATGTATCATACTAATAAAAATACTTACATCGAAATCTATAATTAAAGGTTCCTGTTCCAAATCTCTAGAAAGGAGATTCAATTGCCATAATTGATCATTCTCATCCAATGAAACCTCCAAGAGGTCTCCTTCTGTAATGAGCTCGAGGATCTGCTCTCGAACCGATTGATTGATTGTGATAGTGCATTCAGCTTCTTCCTGTTTAGAAAATGTCATGGAGTATGCATGCTCCATGTCGTCGTCTGATAAGGATTGTATAGTGGAATCAGAAATGTCTTCATCGATAATTCCAGTACCTGCGGAAACAGTCGAATCTTGGATGCTCTTCTCAGGCTGTGGTTTACTATCAAGTGGCGGTGGTGGTGGAGGAGGTGGCATATTTTCCCTTTTTGTTATTTTATATTTAATTTCCATGGCGAGCAATTTACTCATTGCTGGTGCAATTTCGGGAGATTGAATAAACTGTCTAGCCCTATCTTGCCAATTCATTGCTCTCTCGGTCAGACACTGAAGAGCTTCGCCTTCCGGTAATCGACTGTGCAACTTTTGCAAAGACATTAACAATCCCAGAATTGTCTCTAGTCGCGGACGTCTGGTTCGTTGACAATTTATACATAAAAATTTACTATTTTTGACTCCTATTCTCAAAGACATTGGTTTTATGTTTTTTCGTAGACGATCTGTTGCTAATTTTGGCAATTGGACACAGGATGAGTGGAACCAGTCCTTGCACAAAACACACTGCATCATTACACCGGATACGGCCTTCTGACAGGTGCAGAATGTGGTATCTTCTGCATCAATCTTTTTTGCTGTATTCGAAGATATAAGGTCTTTTACCATCTGCATCTCTTTATCTTCAGCATCTTTGAATGCAGTAACTACAGATACTGGATCCATAATTTCAGCAAGCCTGGTATTCTCTTCGCTGGGCTTTTTCTTATTCTTATTGGGGTAAAGTTGTGTTCTTGGAGACAAAGACTCCATTAACGTGAAGAACGAATTCTTTAATAGGAATGTCTTAGATGTTCTCTCCTTCCATGAATGTGCGGAAGCAATGTACGTTTTTAGTCTTTCGACTTCATCCAAGTGGAAAGTAAAATTTTTACTTTTCTTAACTAAATCCTCGATGGCAGTAAGGTATGGGTAGAACTCTAACGAGTTGATCTCCTGCAATTCTTTAAACCAACCATTCACACTGTTTACGCTGTCCACTAAGAGATTTTCTGTTGGTAAATATACATCAATACCTGACGCGATTTTGATTAAATTTTCTGCTTCCGTTACAATATTTACACCTTGCTTTGCAAATAAAGCTTGAGCTTGTTCTTCCCAATCTTCAGCATCTGTGATCAAGGCTTGGAGATCAGATAAAGTTTCTTCTATCAATGGATCAGCAGGAAGACTGAATCCTCTTCTTAGCAAGTTATTTAAGGTGCTTATTTCAGCTACTTCTGGCGTTTTTTTTCTGGTCTCAATAACATCTTTTACCCACCTTAATTGTATATATCTATCTTTTAAAGGTTTCAAGGTTGGCAATTGAATGCATAATCCATTGCTAAATTCTATTAATTCTTCAACTTCTTTTAATGGACAGTCCTTAACCTCCATCTCTAGGTATTTTCTGCTTTCCAGTTCGAAATAATCGGTCTTTTTTAATAATTCTTTTATAATTGTCTCTTCATCTAGGATGCAAGCTAAGCTATCGATTTCATCACAGAACAAACGCAATTCTTGCAACGTCAATTTGCTTCTGTTGTCACAGGAGTATCGTGTCCTGATCTTATAGAAATCTAGCTGTTTGATTACACTCGCACATTTTTCAGCATCTTCGATTGCATGTGCTAATGTCTGTAGTAAGTCAGACTTTGGAAAATTCTTACCATCTGCCTCTGCTAACAGAGCACGTAATTCAGATAAATCTACACTTTTTGGATTTTTCCTATCCAAGACGTCTTTTACTCGGTCAGCCCAACGATCAAATGATTCAGCTTTTTGCTTAAGACTTCTCAATAAAGGTAGTAATTCGTCAAGTGTATATCTGTATCTCAGAGTATGTCTGCTTGGAGGACATTTGCACAGAGAGGCATAGTGTCTCAGGCACACTAAGACATCTGCTGTGCAAGCACATGTCAATGCGGACATGAAGCAAGTTGTTTTGCATACTTCACATTGGCGCTCATCGTCTGGTAACAGTTCGAATGCCTCGCGTTCTGCACTGGTGACACCCTATTAGAAGATTAGAAAATTAGCAACAAGAAATTATATATAAGGTTTTTAACTTACCCAGTCCAAAAGACTCTTCCTCAATTTCTTCTCAGTCTCCACCATTCTTAACATATCAGTATATGTCGCTGCGGCAACAGTAATGTCCAATTTCTCAGAATTGGTTGCCATTTTACAGACGAGTTCGTCGTGAGAAAACACGCAAAATCTTCTTAGCTGAGAGTAATGCAAAACACATTCCCTACCCATGGCTACCCAATCAGCGGGAGCAAAATTCACGGCCTCCGCGAAATTATATCTATAAGGATAGATGTAACAATTAAAATCTACCTTTATTTAATTAAACAATTTAACTTACCCTTGATTGAATCCAGCATGATAAGCACGTGGGAATGTTATTACAAATTCACCTGCGTGTTGGTCGGTCCTGTAGACCGGAACTCCCGCGTTCATCAGTATATTTGGGTTCATGATTGTAACTAATTGATGCAGTAAATCAGGCTGTGTTTGAAATAATTCCGGAGCAGCTGATTTCATTGTCTCCTCGAATAATTCAGCTTTCATTCCGGATACTCCGTACCAAGTTTTCGGTTCACCCCAGTGGAGGTAGTTGATGGAATAACTCCAATGGTCTTCGTTGTGCCAACAGAACGTCGCGAAGCACATGCCTACATACATCCAAGGTACCTTCATTCCTGATATATCAGCGTTAATGTACCCAAGTACGGATCCTTCGAGAACTGGTAGGTTGTTCAAATTCCATCCGGACAAAGCGTACTCGTGGTCAGCGGGTAATAAGTTTAATGCATTTTTTGTCGGAAATCCAGAACCGTGATCCATTGTGTGTAAATCAGCACCATATTCTACTGTAACATCTTCATCGATAGAAGATACGATACGCCAAAACTCCTTTTCCACCATTGAAGTCGGAACTAGCTGCAATGATAAAAGTATCACAGCTTAATACTTGATTGTCGCAAATATAATAATTCGATCTGTTAAGACCAATAAAGAGTACATATTAAAGAGATGACCAGCTTCCTTGACCCTTTTTTCCATACGCTCATGCGTACTACCTAATAAAAAGAGCATCCGAAGCACATGCGAGTTGCTGCAATCACAGACGTGCATCAATTGCAAACGCGAGGAAGACAATAAACTAGTACACGAATGAATACAGAAACGTACGTATAACAGAAGCAGTAAACAAATCTTTTACACATCTTTCTTTTCTTGCAAGGAGAAGAAACCATAATACCGAAGACATGTTATAGATAGACATTATACAGTTACCGGCGAGACCTCACGAATTATTCTATATCATATATAGCTTGCAAAATTAGGTAACTATATACTATTAATGTAATATGCTGCTTTGTGATCAATATTGCTCCATATTAATAACAATAGCTTGCCAATTAGAGAACGCTTAATTTAGAGTCGGGATTACTATTGTTAGCAATTGAAATCACAGACAACCAACCAACTAACGACGACTGTTCGCCTAGAAATGCATGTTTGAACGTGCGGATTATTACTGCTTGTTATGTAGACAATAAAAAACGTTATATAATAATTATTGATTTCGATGTTTGTTGAAACGAAATAAAAAAAAGGAACAAAAAATAAGAACCAAATAATTAAGTTACTTTTAATGAAAGTACGTCTAAAAAACCTAATCATGAAAGATTGTCTGTAATGAGGTATTTGGAGAAATATATACAGATTACAGAAGATTTTAAGTGAGGGAAAAAGACTAAAGCTCTTTGTTATGTAAATTGTACATTGTTCTAAGTCTGAGACCAACCAGTGGTTGATATTGCATAGACGCAGAATACTCGTGTTTTTCGACATTTATAATAATAATCTAAGCTAAATAGACGAGTATAGCCGATATTGCTGCACAAAAGTTAATATTATTTGTAGGAAACAATAAATACTTTACATCATCTTAGAATATACCAAGCAACAATAAAATGTATGTAATCAGAGTGAACTAGTAGTTCGTTTATAAAACACCAACAATATTAACAATAGCACCATATCATGAAATAAAAAGAGTTGAAGCCAACGTTGCAAGACGAAAATACTGTCTACAGTGGATGAATTAATTTAAGCACGCTTTGGAACATATTACAATGAAACCATCAATACTATTATAAATAGCTGTCAAATAGGATAAGGATATAAAGGAAACGTGTACTTTGTAAAGGGAACTATATATTTGATTAAGAATAATGAATTAATTAGTTCACAACAAATCATACATATATACAATTTATGTTAACACAAAGGATATTAAAACAATAAGTTATTGGACAAAAACTGGGAAGCTTAAGCTATATATATATACAAAATTACTATTAATTCTAAGAACGAATATTCTTCGACATTTCGTATATTGCATGTGCATGAATTAAATTACCGACATGAAATGTTAAAAAATATAAACCAATTACATAACGGAGAAGAGGTGGAGGAAACACGTGGTAGATGCTGCAATTATTGACATGTTAAAAATAAAAAATATTGCATAATGGAAAACAGTAAATATTTGCTTTCTTCGGTTCAATTATAGCAATATTATTTTATTAGAATTAACTATGGTTTTTCCTCGAATTTACAAGATACAAAATGATCGGCGCACGCAACATCACGAAAAATCGAAGTTTAATTGCGTCACGAAAAGTTGGTTTTTCCGTAAGAGTACTAGAAAGCACATTGATTTCGATGCATATGCTTTTTTCCCGTTACAACACATTAAGTCAAGCATCGTTTACTGCAGTTGCGAACTTTAGTTTTATTGTCTCTATGCTCATAAATAAACTACAAATAATAAAAGGAATGAACTGCGGATAAAGAAAACCACGGCCAACACAATAAACTATACTCGCGGTTTTTCTTTTTAAATTGATATAATACGAGGTCATCACCATAGTGGGTCTTATTTGTTTCTACGTAATCTAAATGAAAACAAACTTACATGCACGGGCATATTGAAATATTCAGACTTAAATGTGTCTGCCATTTCTCCGAATTGCTGCAGGTTGTACTCTCGTTGGGCCTGTTCGAAACCGAAGGCTTCCATAGGTTTGGACACCTCCGCTGCAACGCATTTCGGACAACACCAGTCGCCCTTTGGAATTTCTGCCAGAGGTGGCATAAGGCAAAACGTGTGGTAGCTATCATCACAGCCGTCGCATAATAGCATTTGTTCTTCGGAGTCACCACGTCGGCAATTATGGCAAATATATTTGGCCAGCTAAAGAGACCAACATTAAAATATCTGTATTCTATTACTATTCTCTCAACTTACCGGATCAAAATCGAACTCCGATTTTGGTCTTGGCTTAAAATCATCATTCTTTTTCAAATTAAATCCAGCCATCTTTGGTCCAGGTCCATAAAACTGTAATCTTTTTAACTCTTTGTTATGGTCACTCTCAGAATCTGATGTTGGTTCCTCTTTGATGGTGACATTCTCCACCTCCACTTTAATCACAACCTCACCAACTTCTGGCTCAGGAGCTGCTGTTCCTTTGCTTCTCCTACTGTAACAATTTTTTCTACTTACAGTTGGTTGAGTATTTAATAGCCTAGATTTGGAAGGCTTATATTCTTGATCTTCATCATCCTCTGTCTTAATTTCTTGTTTAATATTATGAATCTGCTGGATACAAGAACAGAGAATTAGTTTTTCGGTATATTTTACTAATGTTAACCAGACGTACGATTTTCTTTTCCATTGCGAAGACTTCAAATGGATATAAAAGTCTCTCATAATGCGTCTTTAGTATCGTTCCTATTCCCTTACCCTGAGGATAACCCATGTATACGGCTACTTTAGCCCATTTTCGCTCCTTCGATACATTCGAAAACCCGCCTTCATGTTCGACAAGACGGTGCAATGTATATAAGTCAAGTGCACGTTTTTCAACCATGGGAATCTTAAGAGATGAACCCTGCAGCTCCCAGAACTTTGCAATTTGATCTAAGAAATTGAGTTTTATCCTTGTTTTGGCCTAAAAATTAAACTAATTTAGTATAAAACAAACTTGAGCTTTCTGGAATCAGATTAACCTCTAGTTCATTTAGTCTTTGGATTCTGGGGGTAAACTTTAATTTGTCAACATCAACAGCAAATGGTGGCTGCCAATTCTAAAAAAATGGCAAGATATTTAATAGTTGCTAGTGATTAGGTTTCAATATTTCACTCACTGGTGGTGGTTTTATTTTACATATTCCATACTTTTCAGCAATGGGCCTTATCTTGTCAATAAAGACTAGAGGTTCTGCAAATTCAGCCTCTGTGGGGCTAAATACAGGTGCCTCTGGAGGCACTGCAAACTCAAATACATCTTGCCTTGTGGACTTTGCAGATGAATCATTTGAGCAACTACCGGTGTTGCTCAGTGTGGGACTAATTCTTTCATCTCTTCCAGACATTTTTCTTTTATTTTCATATAGATCTCATTCTTAAAAAATAATAACTAATGGAAGAAGGCTTCCGGCAATTAGTTAGCTGGATGAGATTTGTTTTATTTGAACATGTAGATTCTTGATTGCTATGAAAAAGAAAATAATTAGAAATTAGTCAAAAATAGAAAAATTGCATAATAATCTGAGTGTGCATTTTATAAAGAAAAGAAATGGAAAAACATGGTGTGGAAAGCTTTTACTTTTTCTTAAAACTTACCTGATCTAATGGATGTTAAAGTTTTCTTCCATATTGTAATTTTCACCATTTTATATGCAGGGGAAAAAAATATTGGTATGACTTTGGTCATCTATTGTTCCAATGATCCAATTGGTTTTGTTCGCTATTCTCAGCTACTTTCAGATCCGAAATTAATATTGAAAGTTTTGGACACTCCGTCGTTGTCCGACGATCGGCGCTCAATGTTTGTGCAATAATTTCTGCGAAAAGTTGCCGAAACTTGCAGTTGATGATCGGAAGAAAAACAGTTTCGCACCATTTGAATCATAAAACTGATCCAACTTTTGCCTCGTTACTTTGGATTGACGAATTATATCACCTTTTCACTTTAAGCAAAAGTTCTTGTATTTCCTTTACAGCAGAGTTTTTCCATTTCGCTGTTCTTAATGTTCCTTTTTTTGATTTTTCTACTATTCTTCTTTATTTCTACCTGTCTTAATTTCTATCCAATACGTTGTCCACACGGCAATTGACGGGTGTATGCAGAATTTGCAAGGAAGATCGTGTATACAACTAATCTACCTCGGATTACAAAAGCAAATCACAGACAGAACAGTTACACTCGACGGTCGGGAAGTCTCAATTTATGTCGTGGAAATTAAACACAACAGAATTCTGCAAAAATCACCACTCTAACTTTTTGCTACTCCTCATCACTTCTTGTACTTTTTCCTTTTTTTTCTGTTCCGTCGAGTACGCATAAATGTCGTCGGTGAGACAACACAGAACTAAAAGCTCCCCACTCGTTAAATCATTGATTCCAATGTATTTCACGAGAACATACAATTCCGTCTAAAATGGCATAAACAGTTTAAAAAGATAAAACCCGAACTATCAAAAGGATCATCAAGCCTTGCCTGGACCCGAGCCCAACAACTGCAAGAACTCACCGACTGCTCTTCACTTCGCACATAACGTCTCTGCTTCCACAGAATTGGAACAATTCACGATCCGTAAAACCTAACGTGTTAGGTTAAAATACCATCGGTTATTTGGTATCGCGTTCTACGTGACGCCCAACCAACCATCTAATTGGACAACTCCGCATACCATGATCAGCCATAATGAACATGTTCAGTATTTCGCTTGGTCCGCTGCCATGCATCACTAGATGGCTCTATCTAAACAACCCAAACATTTAATTATAAACATTACTTTGTTAACGCCTTCTACATATATTGATTATCCACAAATGTGCACTGAGCACCTATCATAAATTATATATACTTCTTTAAAAGTCTTATTGTTTGTAAATAGGATTTTAATTAAATAATTTCCATGAAGCGAATGCGCTCAAAAACCACCTAAAACATTCCAAATTATGAGGTTTCATAACGACAGAATCTATAAACAGTTAATAATAATATACTGAAATGTCAGGAAAGTTTATTACTAGAAATTACTTATTTATATTATAACTAAAAATGAATTAAAGTAATTCATCAGAAACGATTCAAATTAAAAACTTATAGTTGCAAATAGCATCTGAAGGTTGGTAGGAGTGTGCGTTTTTCGTTGGTGCCACTGATTGTTGGGCAAAACATTAATGGAATGTAACTTCATTTTTGTTATAATAAAATTTCCTGGTTTTTTGTTTTGTTTTTCGTTCGACCGAATAAGTGTAAAATGATTCCAGGCAGGTTCCTCTGGTGGTTCGCGAGGTGCTGAATTCCGTTTTCCGTTAGGAGGACGTGTCGGAGCCGCACATTGATGAAGGCCAGCCTTTTGAAAAATGAGTCACAAGAGTGACAAATCCTCACTTTCTCAACCGTTGCGAGTGGAAACAGAAGAAAATGTTCATCCTGAAGGGAACAATTACTTTGATGAGGATACTCCACACAGTAATGACAATGAAGACACAGAATCTTTGGGCCCACTGCCCCCCAAATGGGAGAAAGCTTACACTGAAAGTGGTGAAGTTTACTTTATCGAGTAAGTACCATTACTATTAATTCAATTCCTCACTAACATATTCCTGTTATTTTAGTCATGCCAGTGGCACATCACATTGGTTAGACCCCAGATTATCAAAGTTCCAGAAGAAATCATTGGAAGACTGTATGGATGATGAACTTCCATACGGTTGGGAGAAGATTAGTGATCCCAATTATGGTACATACTTCATTGATCATGTAAATAGGAGAACTCAGTATGAGAACCCTGTCATTGAAGCAAAAAGGGCTGCATCCCAGGCCTCAGCTCGTGTTAGCCGTGCTTCTTTCACTAAAGACCCTTCAGAGCTTTGTGGGCAGCGCTTTCGTACCTCCCTAGTTAAATCCTCTCGAGGTTTAGGTTTCACAATTGTTGGTGGGGATGATGGCATAGATGAGTTCTTGCAAATTAAATCTGTTGTGCCTAAAGGTCCAGCATGGCTTGATGGCAAATTGCAGACAGGTGATGTAATTGTTTTTGTTAATGACACCTGTGTGTTGGGCTACACTCACAACCAAATTGTGCGATTGTTTCAATCGATAAGCGTAGGGTCCACAGTAACGTTAGAATTGTGCAGAGGTTATCCTTTGCCCTTTGATCCAAATGACCCCAATACTGAGGTGGTAACAACCATTGCAGTTGATTTACGATTGCAAACTGTTCCAAATGAGAAAAGACTTGCTAATCTAGATACAAATTACAACTTTCTTGATGGTGATGACATTTCTAGAGATGAAGGTAGTGCAATTGACAATAACGACGATATAGAAGATATTCTTAAGGGCATAAATCTGAGCGTCACCAAGGTTGAAGTTAGTGTCAAAATTGTCAAGGGAAATCTGGGGTTCGGATTTACAATAGCGGATAGCGCGTGCGGGCAAAGGGTTAAGAAAATCCTGGATAGACAAAGGTGTAAGAATTTAATGGAAGGTGATATTCTACTGGAGATTAATGAAATACCACTCCAAAATATGTCACATGACGATGTTGTTCAGGTGTTAAAGAATTGCCCTTACAACAATGAAGCAACAATCTGCGTTCAGAGGGGTTGCAACAGTAAACCATTGATAGCTAGAAACAAACCAAGAAAGCTGGACAATAGATTTAACTCTAAGGATATGGCGAATGCGTTTCGCAGCAAAACGCCCACTGCTGACATATACAGCACCCAGCCGAGAGAAGTATTACCAAGCAGACCAAAAACTCCAATAGTAGACACTCGAAATATTTCGAAAGCGCCTATAAAAGACATGAACTCAAATAGCCATGAGATGTTGCGAGGCGATTTCAACAATGACTCCACGGAACGTTCGCACCTCCGATTGTCTTTGATAGATTCCCAAGACGTAGACGATGAGATAGAGATCAATGATATTGTCCAGAACAAAACCCCGCTCGAGTATACCCAAAATGACGGTAAATACGGCCTATACATGCACATACCACACAGGTACGACTGCATGTGCTTCAATTGCCAGAATCAAAGACCAAACGTCAACGAAAGTAACAGCACCTACGAGAACAGAAAGACCAATATGCAGGAATGGTGGCAATCACAACAAAACAACGATTATCTAGAAATGAATATTACTTTGCATAGACAGGAAACTGGCTTTGGTTTTAGAATTGTCGGTGGCATAGAGGATAGGTCTCAGGTGGCTGTTGGACATATAGTCGCTGGAGGCGCTGCGGATTTGGATGGAAGGATCCGTTCTGGTGATGAAATCGTCAGCGTGGACAACTTTTCTGTGCTGAAAGCTTCGCATCGTCAGGTGGTGCATTTCATGAATCAGGCAGCTACACGCGGACAAGTTAATTTGGTTTTAAGACGTCGCAATTACCCTCCGATGATTCTGCCCTTCTCTCAAAGTTATCCAATAGACCACATGCCACCTCAACCTCCTATCGCCAGTCCCAATAGTCAAACCTACGACGTTATTGTCCATCGTACGGAGAACGAAGGATTTGGGTTCGTCATAATTTCATCTGTCAACAAGATTGGTTCGACTATAGGTAAGTTATTTTATACTTTTGCATGTGTTTTCTATGTATTATTAATGTACATAACAACATTGCAATTTTGCATACTTAGACTGTATCCAAACGACATGTTTGCATTTCAGGACGACTGATAGAGGATAGTCCAGCCGAGAAGTGTGGACGATTGCGGGTTGGTGACTACATCGTGGCAGTTAATCATATCGACATAATGCACCTGAGTCACGGCGATATCGTTAATCTGATAAAAGACTCCGGCCTCTCGGTAACACTGACCATTGCCCCAAATTCCGAATAAGTATTTGATTTCATCGTTCGGAACACATTCATTGAATTAATAATATATCATCGAATCAACTTGTGATCAAAATTTATCTTTTTTGTTTTTATTCAACTGTACTGATTTTCTTTATTAGCTTTACGTCTCAAGGCAGCTCACCACTGTTGATTTTAACCATCATTATATAATGTATAATATTTTTTAGCTAGATCATATATATTTTTATACCTTATTATTTTTTATACCAAAAGTTTTCTCTTTTTTTTTAATTATTCGTATTTATATAGTTGTTATTTCCGGTTTGCCTTCTTCGCTGGAGAGGATAGATTTATTGACCGGAAATTTTTTTATAAATATATATAGATATACATATGCATGCAATCGCGAAAGTTTTCGTCCAAAGGTTTCAATATAATTTCGAAAAGTTCTCGTTCCAAGGCTCTAATTTAAGGATATTTTTTTTTAAATTGGTGTACCTTGGTAAAAGTTGTTGATAAGTTAATTGTTTCGACAGCTTTTTCAATTAGTTATCTAATATTTAAGTCAATGTTAATGGAACGAAAACTAAAAGAAAATAAATGTTTGGGGCAACACATAATCCACAAATATGTAATTGTTTAAAATTGACTTCTAATAGGGGGCTTTTAACGAAACGGAATTTTTAAAGAGGAAACAGAAATTACAAAAATGTTGTTAATCGTAAAATAATAGGCCGTAATATTGCCAATTTGTATTATTTTTCAAGTGGATTTGCATAAGAATCTTAGTTGTACGATTAGAAGCCCCAATATTTGAAAATATGATAACTTTGTGGTATTCTCTTTGTATTAATAACTGGATTTTCCTGCATACAGTATATACTATATATATGCAAGACAGGAATTTTATCCTTGCATGTACATACTATATTATGTATACATATATATATATATTTAAGAGAACGTACATATATAGAAATGTTTGTATAATCCATCTGTTTTCTCTTCTCACACTAACATGTGATATTTTATTAGTTATTGATTGTTTTTAAGATTTCTCGATGCGAAATGTTACTGGAAAATTAACTAGCACTGCCATTTTTTCCATTCCGTAAGAGAGTGAAAGAGAAATAGAAGGAATAAAGTAGTAAAGAAAAGTATATCTAAACCAATTTATATACATGTATGTATGTATATATATATAACGAGACGAATAGATTTGAATCGCCTTTCCGCAAGTTTCTTCTGTACGAATTCGAGAGGGATAGGTCTAAATCCCATTTTAGACTGAATTACTGATACAATAAATGTAACTGTTCGAGTGGTGAGGATTTTAACAGTGTAGCAATAAATAAGCATTACGATTTATTTGATTAAAAAATATATATGTAAAAATATTAAAAATAATAATTGGAAACAAAGTGTATAAATAAATATCTATATAAAAATATTACACAGAATAAACAAACGGGTATTCCAGTCATATTTAGGAATCTGAAATAACAAAAAACGACGGTTAATTGCAAACATCTGGACCTCTAGCATTCTCTAATATATATCATGTCATAATAGTTAAAGAAAGACTGTTGACGTTTCGACGGGTAAGGAGGTGTTGTGCAACTTGGTAGATGGTAGGAGCTCGATACGCTGAAAGAGTTTGAGTTTAATTGAAGGCACTTGCCTGGCATTTCTAAAGAATTTTCTTGGATGGTTTCTAAGAGAGGCTGAACATCGCCCAATAACGGTCGATCGGTGGGTTCGGCCGCCCAGCATTGCTCCATCAGATTCCAGCAGGCTTGGGTGAAATTTGGAAGACATTCTGGTCGAATCCCTGCAATGTTTCACCTTTAATACAGTCTGATTTCCTTCGACTGAGTCCAATCTACCTTTACGAACGCTTCTCCATAGCTGTTCCTTATTGAGGAACTGCTCGAATTGATTAGGTAACTTTACTTGACCCGCGCAAATGTACCAAAACAATATACCAAATGCGTACACATCTACGCTTGAATCGTAGTGTCCTGAGAGTAATTCTGGAGCCATATGCACGGGCGTTCCAACTATGCTTCCCGACATCATCGCTTCTGGTATACAGAAGCCAAAATCAGTTAGCTTAGCCCTATCCTCTGTGTCCAACTAAATGATATTCTTAGAGCAAACGCTTTGAATTTGCAACGTAAAATACTTACGAGAACATTTTTCAATTTGATGTCTCTATGTACCAAACCCTGAGAGTGGAGATATCGGATTCCCTCAACTACATCTATGGCGATCTGTATCCGTTTGACCCATGACAAGCCGTTTCTTAATCCACAATATAAATCGCGAGTCATCCGTTCCATAACTAATAGTACACTGCTACCACTCGCGTAGCTCATGTCTATCACAGATCCTCGTAACTTCACGATCCTGGGATGTTCATGGATCGATCTAAGGCGAAAACATGAATAAATATATCATCTTTTCCAAAACAATTACCATCACCTCGTGTAATAAAATTCCATAGCCAAATCGTTCCAATGACGGTCATCAGGTGGAACAACAGATTTAACAGCACAAGGATTCACGTTTCCCCATGCTTCACAAGAGAATACCACACCAAACTGACCTCTACCAATTTCCTTCATGGTAACGGGCAAACCATATTTAATTAAATCACAGAGCGATGTGCTCTCCAAAGCTATTCTCGCAAATCGTGGAGCGTATTTCTTTCTGATTGCTATTCGCTGCTCCTCTGTTTGCTCTAGTTTGCCTGAAAGTTGATTTTCCAAAGACCTGATCGCTGATCGGAAGGATTCGTGCGACGCCTTTATATGCTCTTGAAACTGAAATTTTATTTTTTTAAAACATCTGTTTTATACTAAGCGTTAAGGATTACTTGCACGGATATGGTTTTAGCCAGCTTTAAAGCGCTCAACGAGTCTAGCAGATCGAGGACAACTTGGGTCTGCCACTCAAGATCGAATTTGGGCTGCGCACAATTCGACCAGGGGAGTTGAAAGTTCTGCACCAGTTTGAATAGCTTGTCTATAAATGTATGGACCACCGTGAACTTCGTCGAGGATTTCAGATCAATGTTGTAAGCGGCGCTTAAGATTTGCTTGACTGCGTCAGATGCTAGCAGATTTCCTTCTAAATCCTGACAAGTTTTTTCCAGACTTTCCAAACATCGTTGTAGGGTACCTATGAAGCTCTCCTGTAAACAGGCCACCGATTTTACCAATCGATTCGCAACCGAATTGCTTAGTCTGCGTAGCACCAGTTGATGGATTTCCATAGTTGCAAACTTAACAGAACGTTGTCCTTCTTCACCTAAAGTCATGCAATTTGTAATGAACGATGATGATGAAACCTGAGATGTTTACCTACATTTGTATTGATAGCCTATCAGTACTTCAGGTACGTTCCTCCGCATGTTTTGCAGAGTGTATTGAATGATTTTGGTGATTTCCTCTTGATTCTCACTCGCAATCTTCATTAAAGTATCGTACAGCTTTAATTCAATTTCTTGTGCGTATATAATTCGTCGAGGTGTTATCTGAATCTCACGAGCCATGTCAAAAGCAGATAAAATAAATACTCTCAGGTAACTGTTATGAATCTGCAAAACATCCGAATCAACGAAAAATTAGTTGATAAACATTTTTATTTAATACCTCACTAAGTATTCCAGACATTTTCAACAAATTTGATTTTAATAGCTCGTGTATGAATGGGACTAATAATTCGTTAATATTACAATCACTAATTAAACTATTATCTAAAGAGCATTCAGAGCAGAAATGTTTCCTGTTCTCACCCAAGTAACCTGAAGTTCCAAATTTCAGTAAAATTTTATTATATAACATCACACATTACCTAATCTTTTCAACTGATTTTTCAAATTGCTTAGCCTCCTCAATCTTTCACACTGCAGTTCTTGCAGATGCTGTTCAGATTCTGTAAGAGACTCAGTACTTTTGCTATCTTCTGCTGACACACTCACAAATATGATGGGCAACTCTGCATACTTCTCATTTATTATCTTTATCTCTTGTATGTGCTAGAAATTAGTTTTTTTTTATATAATATATTAAAATTGTCAGCAACAAATACTTACATTGTCACTTAAAATATCATTTGAAACAGCGTAAATTAAAATGGGAAAATGATGGTCCATGTTCTTGGACAACACATCTTTGAAATCCTCAATAGGCGATTCTGGAGGTACAATAATACTAACATTTTCTTTGAGAAATGGATGCGGTAATTCGATTTCTATTGTTGGACAATGCTCTAGGTGAGATTCAGTTTCAGTTCTTTGTAGGTCTTCCTCTGGTATCATATTCCATTTGCATTCATTGGCTTTAAGTTCCTCAACAATCTCATATTCATGACCCAATGTGAGACGGATGCTTTTGTGTATACCATGAAATATTTTTATCTGCAATTAGGTGATTAATTATTGATGACAGTTATGTTTAATAGTCTGGTACCCATCTCCATTTTGAACTGAACTGAGGTAATATCATTTGCTCAAGTATAGCATTAACAAAAAGGGCTTTCGAATGGCAGTTCTGACCAAGCACAAGCATTGCAGGTGAGGCATCTAAGATTCCTCTGAGTGAATCCACCAGCCTCGGACTAAGCAACTGTTCTTTAATCTCTCCTTCAATCATTTTATTAGTTAAATGGATCGTTGTAATGGACACAAATTGAAAAACTTACTGCTAAATATATGGTTGTTTTTAATATCATCCAGAGAGTTTTGAGTATCACTGAGAACCCTCTTGAGACTATCACAGTTTTTCGAATAATTTCGGAATTCAATTGGCATTTCCTCCAACATCTTTGCTTTTGTATAGTTTATTTTTTACCTCCAATTGAATATCGCATGCCGTTGATATATATGTGTGTATATATATATATTAGTTGTCAAACACTTTAAGAAACGTCAAATGTGACAGTTGTAGATGAAAAAAATTACATTGATTCATTCAAATGAAGCAACATTATTTTTGTCTAATTAAGACAATTTCTAATCAATTATCATGAATTCGACGTAAACAAATCATAGTATTTAAAACATAAATATGTTTGTCGCTTGTTGCGTCCATCTGACAACAGTTTATCGTTTATTTCTAGAGAATAAAAACATTTGTTATTGATTCGTTAACAGAAATATTAAGATAAATGAATATGCGTTTATATTTTTTGTATTATTTACTTTGTGTTAACTAATGCATATTTACTTATTGGCAATTAGGTAATTATTTGCAATGGTGGGGGGCAATAGGACATGTTCTTCGTAATCTCGTTAGGTGCCGCCACAAGAGAATGTCGAGGTTACTTTATCCGGTGATAGGTAAAAATCGTTTGTAAACATTATTATAGATATATATTTGGCTCCCGTTTAACTTAATCTCAAATGCACTTGCACCCGTTATCAAATACTTGGCCTAAGTTATCAAGTACCTCTTTCATAGCCGGATGTCACCGAAAATCACTCCTTGGAAACGACTTAAGCTACCGCCGAATCCCCTCCCCCCATTGAACTTGACACAAAAAGAATTTAAAAACGACGGACCAACCGCGAATCCTTGAGTCTTTCCACCCATGTTGGGTGCTGCTTCGCGGGTTATTTCAAAAATTTAAAACCCATTTCAAGAACCTTTTACTTCCCGCAATCATCTATCTCTCGCAAGCGACGATAACTCGCAGATAACTGAGAACACATTCGAAAACAAACATACATACAAAAAGTAAAAGATTATCCCCAGTACATATTTAAATTCCATTTATCTGTGGATTAATGACTTTGGCACAATGACGTTCTAATCTTAACATTGATAGTAAACAAGTTTGCATTTAAGAATTGAATGGTTTTATCTGCGCTTGTTTTTCGATACTATGGGTGGAAAATGGTCGAAGATGGATCCGATGGACGTGGAGGTGCCGAATCTTCACTACCTGCTAGAGAGGGATCCCTATTTGCAGCCCTACGAGATCGAAATTCACCGAAGGTAAGCGAAAAATCGCTTGACTTTAAGCAAGGTCAATTCTAATTTACATTATAGATATGCTTGCCTCAAAGACATTTACGAGCGCATCGAGGAGAGCGGCAACGGTATTGATGATTTTACCAAGGGCTATAACTATTATGGAATTCATAGACGAGATGACAATAGCATTGTCTGCAGGGAATGGGCTCCTGGAGCAAAAGCCCTTTATTTAATGGGAGAATTCAGTAAACTCAATTAAAAAATAAAATTATCCTGTACCCTGTACTCATTCATACTTTCAGATGATTGGAACAGAGATGAACATGCTTATACTAAATTGGAGTATGGCAAGTGGGAACTGATTATTCCTCCAAAATCTGATGGTTCTGCTACTATAGAACATTTAACTGAAGTTAAAGTTAAGTCAGCATTATGTGTACATCAAATGTTTTATTATTATTATTTTCAGCTAGTTGTGCAAACTGCTGATGGTACCAAAGTTGAAAGATTGTCTCCATGGGCAAAGTATGTGGTTGAGCCTTCTAAAGGACATGGAACAATTTACAAACAATTGAATTGGGACCCTGCACCTCACGAAGTAAATAACGCGTCCACTATAATATTAATTGTTACAATTTATTACTTTTTAGAAATATACATTCAAAAATTTGAAGGTTCCTAAACCAAAAAGTTTAAGGATATACGAATGTCACGTTGGAATTGCAAGTTCTGAAAGTGTAGTTGCTTCTTACGATCATTTTACCGATCACATCCTAACGAGAATCAAGAATCAAGGATATAATGCCATTCAATTGATGGCTATTATGGAGCACGCGTATTACGCCAGTTTTGGATACCAAGTTACTAGTTTCTTTGCAGCTTCCAGTAGATATGGGACACCCGAAGAATTAAAGAGATTGGTAGATACAGCACATAGTATGGGTTTATACGTAATGTTGGATGTTGTGCATTCGCATGCCAGCAAAAATGTATTGGATGGATTGAACGAGTTTGACGGCACAGACTCTTGTTACTTTCATTCCGGTACAAAAGGTTATCACGCATTGTGGGATTCCAAGTTATTCAATTATTCTGAGTATGAAGTTCTGAGGTTCCTCCTCTCGAATTTGCGATGGTATTTGGAAGAATACCAATTTGATGGGTTTAGGTTCGATGGCGTCACATCGATGTTGTACCACTCGCGCGGCATCGGAGAAGGATTTACAGGAAACTACGAGGAATATTACGGATTGAACGTGGACACTGAAGCGCTAATTTACTTGATGCTTGCCAATAAAATTATACATGATCTGAGTAGCAATGCTATAACAATTGCTGAGGACGTTTCCGGTATGCCTGCAGCTTGTCGGCCCGTTGATGAAGGTGGTCTAGGATTTGATTACCGCTTAGGTATGGCTATACCAGATAAGTGGATTGAACTACTTAAAGATGTTAGAGATGAAAAATGGGACATTGGAAATATAGTGCATACATTAACAAATAGGAGATGGATGGAGGGTACCGTAGCTTACGCAGAATCTCACGATCAGGCTTTAGTTGGAGACAAGACCATTGCTTTCTGGTTGATGGACAAGGAAATGTACAGTCATATGAGTAAAATGTCGGAACCAAGCGCAATTATCGATAGAGGCATAGCCCTGCATAAAATCATACGTTTGTTAACACATACGTTGGGCGGGGAAGCTTACTTGAATTTCATCGGTAATGAATTTGGACATCCTGAATGGTTGGACTTCCCCAGAGAAGGCAACAATAGCTCTTATCATTACGCAAGGAGGCAGTGGAATTTGGTTGACGATGACTTATTGAAATACAAATATTTGAACAGGTGGGATGCGGCTATGAATCACCTCGAGGATGAGTACGGTTGGTTATCGAGCAATCCAGGTTTCGTATCTTGTAAGCATGAAGATGATAAGGTCATCGTGTTCGAAAGAGCCAGCCTACTGTTCATCTTTAATTTGCACGTTAGCAAGAGCTTCTCCGATTATCGCATTGGTTATGAAGGAGAAGGAAAGCTTATGGTCATTTTATCTTCAGATGATAAATATTTCGGAGGACAACAACGCGTGGATAAGTCTATTTTTCATTTCACTACTGATGAACCTTACGCTGGTCGAAAGAATTCAATTAAGGTTTATACCCAATTTAAATCTAGTGAACACTCTTATTAATATTTATGGTTTCAGGTTTATATCCCATCGAGAACAGCAATAGTCTTAGCTTTGTTTTAATAGATATATCACAGAGATGTATTTTTGTTGTATTGAATAAATTTTGAAGTTGAATTTCCCGCGTTATCCTTGAAGCTAAACAACTTCATGTTTGTGTTGATTCATGTTGATTGTCGTTAAATTAATGTTGGGCGTATTTCAGGCCGGTGTGTCATTCCCGATAAGTGAAGTTGATATAGTACTGAGTATTGCATATTTAATGATAATTTATAATAACCGCGCCTTAGAATAACAATTAATTATCAATTGAGGCTATGCAGGATGGAGCGTGAACTGGCAATGATCTAATCTTGTCTCTGACTTGGCTAGACCTGTTTATTTTTCGTGCTTGTGAGAAAACGCTCTGGTTTCAGTAAATAAATAAGACATAGTCGCATTTTGCCATTTATCGTAGTTATTTAACAATTGGACTTATTGTGATAGTGCTGTGTTCAAACTAATATGTTTCTGGCTTAAAATACTGTGCAGTCAATAAAGTTTGGTTAAAATGGCTGGAACGGACAGAGTTTCCCTAACTGATGCTATTTCAAATGTTGATGTCTTAGATGAACTGCCTTTGCCTGATGAGCAACCCTGCATCGAGGCCCAACCTTGTTCTGTTGTTTATCAAGCAAACTTCGACACAAATTTTGAAGACCGCAATGGATTTCTTACTGGAGTTGCCAAATACATTGAAGAAGCAACTGTGCATGCAAGCCTTGTAAGTATTCCATTTCTATATAATTAATCAATTATTACAACCAACAATTTTTTTAGAATGAACTACTTGAGGAAGGACAGGAGCATGCAGTTATGCTTTATACATGGAGGTGTTGCTCAAGAGCAATTCCTCAGCCAAAATCTAATGAGCAGCCCAATAGAGTGGAGATTTATGAGAAAACAGTGGAAGTCTTAGCTCCTGAGGTCAATAAATTGCTGAATTTTATGTATTTCCAAGTAAGTTTTGCATTGGTATATATTTATATATATGTTTATTGAATGCTTGAATTATTTCAGAGGAAAGCTATAGAACGTTTCTCACAAGAGGTGAAGCGTTTATGCCATACTGAAAAACGAAAAGACTTTGTGTCAGAGGCTTATTTATTAACCCTTGGAAAGTTCATAAATTTGTTTGCTGTTCTTGATGAATTAAAAAATATGAAATCTAGTGTCAAAAACGACTATTCCACATATAGAAGGTAATTATATGAAACTATATTTGAAGTTCTTTAATATAAATATATATGTTTATTAAAGGGCTGCACAATTTTTGAAAGTCATGTCGGATTCCCAAACGCTTCAAGAGTCGCAAAATTTGTCCATGTTCTTGGCGACGCAAAATAAGATCCGAGACACCGTGAAAGAAAATCTCGAGAAGATCGCTGGTTACGAAGAGTTGCTGTGCGACGTGGTTAACATTTGTGTACAGATGTTTGATTCGAAGATGTATCTGACGCCCAGTGAGAAGCACATGCTTGTTAAAGTTATGGGTTTTGGACTGTTTCTAATGGACAGTGAATATTGCAACATCAATAAACTGGATCAGAAGAAGAAGTTAAAATTGGAGCGAATCGATAGGATCTTTAAGAATCTTGAGGTGGTCCCGCTTTTCGGAGATATGCAGATAGCACCTTTTAACTATATAAAGCGTAGCAAGAATTTTGACTCCAGCAGATGGCCTTTATCCAGCTCAAACACACCATCGCCTCAAGCAGATTTGATGGTGCATCTTCCGCAGATCCGAGAAGATCATGTAAAGTACATAAGTGAATTGGCGAAGTATAGTAACGAAGTCACAACTACCTACAAAGAAAGCGGAAGCGATGTTGAAAATAAAGAAACTGCAGATCTGGCATTGAGAGGTCTTCAGTTACTATCAGAGTGGACAAGCGTTGTTACAGAACTATATTCTTGGAAATTGTTGCATCCAACGGATCATCACCAGAACAAGGAGTGTCCTCCAGAAGCAGAAGAATATGAGAGAGCAACGCGTTATAATTACAGCGACGAAGAGAAATTCGCTCTAATTGAGGTAATTGCAATGATTAAAGGTTTGCAAGTTTTAATGGCAAGAATGGAAACTGTATTCACTGATGCAATCAGAAGGCATATTTACGCAGAATTGCAAGACTTTGTACAGTTGCTTCTAAGGGAACCTTTGAGAAAGGCCATCAAGAATAAGAAAGATTTGATTAGAAGTATTATCATGTCAGTACGCGAGACTTGCGCTGATTGGTCCAAGAACATTGATATCTTAGGTGACCCAGTGTTGAAAGGCAAAAAAGATGACAACGTTTTTAATATTGAAGTACCTAGGAGGAATGTGGGACCATCGTCTACCCAACTGTATATGGTCAGAACGATGCTCGAATCTCTGATTGCTGATAAATCAGGCGGCAAGAGGACTTTGAGAAAGGATATTGATGGCAATTATTTGCTTATGATTGATCAATTCCATAAGACTTCATTTTATTGGAATTATTTACTAAGCTTCAGTGGTAAGTGTAAATTTAATTATTCTTATAGAACATAGGATTTATGTTTACCATTTGTTTAGATTCACTGCAAAGATGCTGCGACTTGTCCCAGCTTTGGTATCGGGAGTTTTATTTAGAGATGACTATGGGTAGAAGAATTCAAGTAAGTAAACTACATTTTATATGTTAACAGCTAATTAAGAACATTCATTAACAGTTTATAATTATGTCAGCATAGCGATGAAACCGCAAAATTAATATGTTTACATTTGATATCTAACATTTATAGATGAGTTGTTTACAAATAGACATAGGTCAGTACAGACCATTTATCACGTAATATAATAACGTTTAAAGAAATCAATTAATTAGTTGAATAATTATGTAACGTACCAATAATTGGTATTTCGTCTTGCCTTCAAAACAGAACAGATAGAAGCACCATTGATGGAACAAATTTTATATTATTTAAAGAATTTGCTCACTACCATATGCACATAATTTTAGAACGTTTATAAATATAATTTGTATATGAATAGGCAACCAAATATACATATCAAATATTAATGTTACAGTGGGTTGCATATATACCGTGATTTTGAGCTATCTCTTTCAGGTTTCTCGACCTTTAACAATATATTTGTAGTTATACTACAACCCAATTGATTTTTTGAAATATATTTTGTTGTGAAATATAAAAACTGGAAAGTAAGAGTAGTTCACTTTGACAAAAGGTGGCAGCTATCTCTTCGCGACCAATATGCTGAGAAACACTTGTACTAATGGAAATGTGGGACAATAAATTCCCATTGGACAATAATATTGATTTTGTACAATTAAATTTTCTGCATTGTACATAAATCAATGTTGTGCATAATTTAATTACCAATATTGACACAAAATAAACTGTAAAACAATTTTATTTTCAAAACTATCCTAGATATTACGTAATAGGAAATATTGCCAGAATGAATTCTACTAATATATTTTATTTTTGACAAATTTTTCATTAGTAATTAGAAGACTTTAAAGAAAGAGAACTTTGCTTTTAGAAATGTACAGTACGCCATCAACATAATGAGGAGTGTAGTGATTTGATTACTATGGAAAAGCGTATACAATTTCCGATCGATATGTCGATGCCCTGGATTTTGACGGATCACATTCTGAAGACAAAAGAACCATCTATGATGGAATACGTATTGTACCCATTAGACTTATACAATGATAGCGCTTTATACGCTCTGACGATATTTAGAAAGCAATTTTTATATGATGAGGTTGAAGCAGAAGTGAACTTGTGTTTTGATCAATTTGTGTACAAATTAAGCGAGCAAATATTCGCGTACTACAAACAGCTGGCTGCTAGTATCTTTTTGGATAAGAGGTTTAGGGTCGAGTGTGCAAGTTTAGGTGCGTACCTGTTACCTTATCCAAGAGCCAATAGATACGAAACCTTATTGAAACAGCGACATGTGCAACTACTGGGCAGATCGATTGATCTGAACAAGTTGATTACGCAAAGGATCAACGCCGACATGCAGAAATCGTTAGATTTGGCTATTAGTAAATTCGAGGCAGGAGATATAACCGGAGTGATGGAATTGAATGGTCTTTTGCAAGTGAACAGGTTGTGTCATAAATTGCTTAGCAAGCTATTGGCTTTGGATGATTTCGACTGTATGTTCCGCGAGGCTAATCACAACGTGTTGGCACCGTACGGCAGGATAACCCTTCACGTTTTCTGGGAATTGAATTATGACTTCTTGCCTAACTATGTCTACAACGCTGCTACAAATAGGTTTACTAAGTATAAGGGTGAAATCCACTTTGCTGCTGCTGTACATAGGGATAAACCACCTCAGATGTCACCTCACTATTTATGGGGAACGAAACACTTGAACTTAGCTTACACCGCACAATACGCCCAATATTCCGGCTTCGTTGGACCTCATCACTTCCACACCATGTGTAAATTGCTGGGCTACCAAGGAATAGCTGTAGTTATGGAGGAATTGCTAACCATTGTCAAGAATCTTATCCAAGGCAATCTGCTTCAATTTACCAAAACCCTGATGGACGCTATGCCAAAACTGTGTAAATTACTGAGGTACGACTATGGATCTCCAGGTGTACTAGGATACTATCACGCGCAACTCAACGACATTGTGCAGTATCCAGATGCGCGCACGGAACTCTTCCACATCTACCGGGAATTCGGCAATATTATCCTCTTCTGCTTGTTGATGGAGCAGGCGCTCTCGCAGGAGGAAGTATGCGATCTGCTACAAGCCGCTCCATTCCAAAACATCCTTCCCAGGCCTTTTTGCAAAGGTAATCCCACATCGGAGACAAGAAACACTTTTTATACAACATCTATTTTAGAGGGCGAAAAACCGGAGACGAAGCAGAAGCGTTTAGAGACGAAATACTCTGCACTCCAAATAGTGCCAAACATCGAGAAGCTAGGCACTGCTAAGCAGGCGATGATTTCTAGGGAAGGTGATTTGTTGACACGAGAAAGGTTGTGCTGCGGCCTGTCCATATTCGAGGTGGTTTTAAACAGGTTGCGAAGCTTTTTGGATGACCCAGTGTGGGTAGGACCACCACCAGTCAACGGAGTTATGAACGTTGATGAATGCACGGAATTCCACAGACTTTGGTCGGCACTGCAATTTGTCTACTGCATTCCAGTTGGTGACACAGAGTTTACCGTCGAGTATGTTCATTAGTCGCGGATGTTACAAGATATGGATTTCAATATGAATGTTTTTCAGGGAACTATTTGGAGAGGGCCTGCATTGGGCCGGATGCACTATGATTGTGCTATTAGGACAGCAGAGGCGGTTCGAAGCCTTAGATTTTTGCTATCACATACTGAGGGTGCAACGAGTCGACATGAAGGATGAGTTCGTGAAAGGAATCGTGAGTTGCCTCCATTAAGTTTTTGCCAAATGTATTGATTTTGTTTTTATTTCCTTCGTTCAGAGCTTGAAGCGGATGGTCGACCGTATCCGGAGGTTCCAAGTGCTTAACTCGCAGATTTTCGCGATCCTTAACAAGTTCTTAAAATCAAGTGACAACGATGAACATTCAGTGGAGCATGTTCGGTGTTTCCCACCCCCAATCTACAACTCCCCAACCCAACAAATGTACCAGGCTCCTGAGCACATACGGCAGCAATTGAACAACTAGCTAAAGGTGTTATTCGGTAGACAATAGCATAACCTTCCCCCCTAAAACCTTGTAAAATACTTCTCTTTTATATGTATATCTATTAAGGTTGATACCGCGGTGTCATGCAGATTTTTTATAGTATTATTACGGAAATAACTACATTTCTATTATAAATATGTTAACTTTAAGGTATATTTTAAAGTAAAAAAAAAATAATTTATATACGGATATAATATAGTTGAACAAAAATGTATTTAATATTGTAACTCAGCAGGCTACTGCTCTGTAGGTGGCGTTGGTGGATTTTAATTCGAATGTAAACTATGAAAAATACTGTCGGCTATATACCTAATGGGCGGCGGGTCATAGCCTATGACGAGCCTTCTTTATATATAGTTATGCTATATGCAAATATCCTCTGCACATAATATATATATATATATTTATATAAATATATAATCATTATTAAGGGTTACAATAAGTAAAATAGCAAATTGATTAGTTTATCATTGTTTTTTAATCCTTTCCATTAGCAAGCTGCTAGTTATTATACATATATATTTATAAAAAAAATCGAACATGGTTAATATAATAATAATTAAAAAATCATATATATACACATGTATATATATATACGAATACATATACACATGTGTATATATATATTTCACATATTGCCTAAGATTCTTTCATTAAATAAATACCTGTCAGTGGTTTAAAAAAATATATGTGTTTTTTTTTCTCAAGTCTCCTCGACTTTCAACTCACAAATCAAAAATAATAAAAAAAAATAGAAAGAAAAGCGTACGAGAACAAATAGGAAAACCAAGAACTACAGAGAAATTCGATAAAATTGAAAGTATTTAAGTTTTCATATATATATCTTCAACATCATGTTTATCATTTGTTTTTGTGTATTTATATAGGAATGAATTATACATGTGAGTGTATATATATATACAATAGATGTATTCTTTCTGCTTTTTTTTTTAATTATTCACCTTTCGCTTCATACTTGTTTTTTTTCTATTATGTTATGAATACAATAACTATATTTTGGATGTGTGATTTGTTTTCCTTTCAGAAGTATTTGTGTTTTTGGAAATTTAATGATGACATCTCGAAATGAGTGGCATAAAATTACACAAAGAGATAGACAGTACACTTATACAGTGGGAGATTTTTTTATATGTATATATATAAATATATAGAGAGTAGAGTTCTGGCGTGGTGGTGAATAGGTTTGCATCTTCGCTCTTTACTGGATGCAGCAGGAGTTCTTGTGTCCATTCTTCAACTTGAGCCTAGATTTAGGACGGTATTTTTGCAAGTAACCCAACTGCTTAGAATTGATCGCTCCGCGTCGTTTCCTGTAAATCAACAAAATAATAATTACACACTATACTATATATAACACTATAATATAACATGTTCTTGGAGATAAAACTATCGTTTCACATTAAACTTAATCTAATCTAAAGTGTTGTTGTTATATTTTTTTTCATGTTGGATCACCTAAAAGTACAGATTAGTTCCTATGGGAACGTTGCGGGAGGTTAGTTAGGTATCTCATTGTACTCTTTAACAAAACCTGTATCGACTTCCGTGTAACCTAAATGATTGTATCATTGATTTTGACCAGATCTTAGCGTGACCCGGTTTTCTTTGCGGAAATATCGGAGCGCAAGGATACAGCGCCGCCACCGCCTTTCCTATTGTCCCCACATGTAGATTCATTATGGGTAAATAGGTTATCCGTAGGTTAAGTAGCGCGCTTAGAAACAAGCGTGTGTATTTCCACCTCACTACAGTTTACATTCATTTTTCTTTGCTATTGTCCGACCAAGGTTATCTATGCATCCAGGTTTTGTACTTCTGCTTTATCTACGACTATTTATAGATACGATTATTACTGATCTACATTTTTCTCCCAGTTAATTACAGAACCTGTATCTGAATTATCCAGCCGATAAATTATGTAATATCCGTGACGACCTCTAAGCGAATACATTTTTAGCATCTATAAACACTTTGTATATCATCATAACACAAGATCATTCATATTGAACATATTTTCAATCAGTTTCTTGATAAAATTGATTTTGCTGAAATTTATAGCCAGGCAAATATTTTTTTTGTAACTGACTCAAAAATAAACCGCCAGTTGGATTTACTTGCTTATTATATATCTATTTATAGCAACTATAGTCGTGTGTGGAAACCACAAAAGTTGGATTTGATTTATTATCTTTTAATACCACTTTAGATGATCGACAATAAGCCTGTAATATATATTGAGTATGTAAATAAATCGATAATCCATTGTGTTTATCCAAATTAATATTTCAGAACTTTTAAATTTTGTAAATTATTTATTCAGTATAAATTTCGTGTTATTTCCGACATCGAAGCAGCTATATTCACAATTATGAAGTCCCTTGTGATTAGCTTGCAGTAAACGTCGGGCTTCCGTCGCCCAAAGAAAACCTCAAGCTGAGAAAACATTTCTGCGAATCTTAGGACAGAAGCTATTAATAATATCGACGACGGGCATACTAATCACAATGAATGGGGAAGAGGCTCACGTGAATTCGAGAAATTGGATAGGACGCTCCAATTCCTCTGAAAACCGTTGTTGAGGATAGATTCAATTGATGAGAACTCATCAATACATACATGCACCCGAATCTGGTTTATTAACCTGAGCAATTCTAACGAGGTTTCTTCCATCAAATGAAGTGATGCAGCCGCCGCCTGGTTGCTTGCAATCAGCCGGCGGGAATTTATCACGAAAATTATGTAATTCACCCCAGATAATAATGCGTGTGTATGACGTCTGGGATGGGAGATAACATCATGCGAATAGATTAGACTTGTAACTATATGAAAAAAAAAATGTATTTCCGAACATTTATTTTTCACCTCCAACATCAGGAAGTCAGAAATAATGTAAAAATATTAAAAAAAGAATAATGACTCTTAAATTTGTATTTTCGTATTAATAAATGAAGTATAAATTCTCAAAGCGCTGCATTGAATCAATGTTATATGTACACTTCATGCATTATGTACATTATGTACACGCGCAGAAAATATGAGTATATACATACAAGACCTAGTGACGTTGTTGATAGGAAATCAATGCTAATAATAGCGCATTCACTATCGAAGAGGAGACACAAAATAAGAGTAATAAGAAGTACGTTCTCTGATAAGAATATTGGAAATAGTTTCCATCCATGGTTCTGTAAATGGTGCACTTTCTCCATTATTATAGTCTAAAGATATTCACACTCTTTTTTTTTATTGATATTGCAATGAACTTTACTGACTTTTCACAGGCAATTAAATTTTGTATATTTTAGATAATTTAATCAAACGCTGACTACAAATCTTTTAAACAATTGAATGAAAAGTTTCAACGCGTCATTTTAGTAATAACGCTTTGCTGTTTGGTATTCTTTAATTATTTTAATATGTAAAACAATAACACTTCAATAGACTTTGAAGATAAATATTTTTAACGGACATAAAGAACAAATATATTTTACATGCGGTAGTTAAGGAACAGGATACAATAAATTTATATAAATCTGTAGCATAGAATTAGTTACTAAGTAAATAGATGTTTATCGAAAAATAGCATGCTATATAACTGTAAAATACCGAGTTATGTTGATGTCTGTTGATCAAATCGTCGTGAAAAGAAGACGCAAACACAAGTAGATATATTTGAATAACAACTAGCGATTCAAAACACGGCATCAACTTCCTGCAATAAATTACACAGTTCGTGAATATATCAATTTATCCTTTTCACCTAGGCCATATGCGCGGAGCATAGAAAATCACAGGTCACCGGTTCCGCGTTTGAAACACATGCAGAAAATATCCAAAAACTAACACCTAATTAGCGCAAATAAATGTATTCAGTCTTTCGGAAATATCCTTGCCTCGTGCACATTTCCATCAAAACAAGTGTTGCACAAAGTTGACTACTCCCACGTTTGATAAAAATATATTTCAATTAGGCGAACAAAAATATAGACAGCTTGGAGGTAGAATGAATTTATGTAAAGTTCGGACACTTTCTGCTCAGGTCTCAGTAATTCCGGACTTTCAAACATATTAATCAAAATTGCGAATAAAGTTCTGCTGAAAAACAACAGACGAACACGTGCCAAACAATATGTAAATATTCCATTCGTTGTGAAGTTTTCTCGTTTCATGCTCGTCAGCTCCGATTCGTATCAAATGGATAATTGTGTTTACTGGAACTGCTTTATGACGAGTATATGCAATGATATATGCAGTTTCTCTTTAATTTCAACCAGTAATATCAAAATGATATATATTTCGCGTATTGTATGACAACTGAAAGCAGATTAACCTTAGGTTATCCAGAATGTTTACAGCAGATAAACATTATTAACATCGCTGAAAACATAGTGGACAATTGATATGGTGCAGCAAAATTCCTTCGATATTAACAGCAGATAAACTTTAATCTTTCGATGACCCGAGCATTAATGATAAACTATAACAATATTTTGTCTTTAACTGTAGAAAAAATCATTAAAATGAAATATTAACTTCTTGAAGACTTGCGATCATTTTGATGTAGTGCCAGGATTAACTAATAGCAATGAGCATACAATCAATATAGAGAGGAATGTGTCTGTAAAGATCTTTAGGCCTTGAGCGATATACAGCATATACGGAAACTTGTCTTTTAACGTTCAAGGTCGTCGGTACGTTTCAAATTCGAACTATATTCAATATTCTTTGCAAATCATTAAAACGTAAATGGAAATATCTCTAATATAAAATCCTTGATTGTACAATCTTGTGTAATAAATGATCAATACAAAAACAAATTAAACATCTAGTTTTTTTTAAGAAGCAGGTAAAAATAACATCAAACATGACATCATTCATGGATGATTCTCTTGTTAAGAACGCGATGGCCTTAGCCTTTACCTCGAAAGTATAAAAATAGACAAATTTTTTATGCTCTAAGTACTAAAAATGTATTAGTGCAACTTACTCTCTTATAAGTTCGACAGCTTCTTCGTACTTGAGGCCTAATTCTACTAAGGCCAGAGCGACCATGACAGGGGCTCGTCCCAGTCCGGCGACGCAATGGACGGCGACACAGGCCTCTGGGTTGTCATGAAACTGCTTCTTAATAATCTTAAACCACTCCTCGGTGATTTCGTTGGGAGGGAATGTCCCGTCGTTATACTCCAGATCAAAAACGGAGATGCCAGCCTCGCCTAGTTCCTCGGTTTTGTAAGATGGCTCGCAGACTCTGACAACTGCAGTTACACTATGTTTTTTCAGTTCCTGAAATAATAAAAAAACAAACACATAGGTTAAAAGCTTGTCAAGTTTATAGTTGTTCATGTAATTGTTATTTTTTTGTATCCTCGACTCGGTATTGTTTAGTAAGAATCAAGGCCGCTATTCTAGGTCGACAGATAATATTCATGTGGAGATAAATGAATTTGTTTGAACGCCATTAAGTTGGATATGATTCATGCGCGCGTGTACTGACGTCTTCTGGATATATTTTTTATTTGGATTAAGTTTATTAGTGTGACTCATCGAGTATGTATAGGAAGCACATGAGGCTAACAAACGATACCGAGATACAAAATAAATAAGTTCAGGCAATAAAGACAAGAAGAAATTAGACAAGTTCCTATCAATCGGTAGCCATAACATTGAATTACCAGTATAACTATAAATCTTAGAGTAACCTTGCACTTGATAGTAGGATGATAAAACACGATAAGAACTTTAAATAATCTTATGGCATATAACATAAGACATCTCAGCTAATGGCATTCTTGCTCTGAATTGCAAATAACTTAAATATATTACATTTTGTAGCTCGTCAATATTTAAACCCTTTAATTTGGTTGGAGGAATACATTTTGATAGTCCACAACATCCGATTTTGATTTAGTTGATAAAGTTGTCTGATTCAGTTGTCTATAATTTTGTTGGATCTCAAAAATTTAAGAACTTTTGGCGTTAAGTTAAGTTAATTTGGGTTTGATCTGTATTAGTACTCAAAACAGGTAGCCATCCCTTAATATAGTCCTCCACTGAATCTACTAATTATTCCATCTGCAATTGATTCATGAATTGCAAACCGAGGACGTTAATTCCTCAATTATCTGCGTATCTCATTTCAGGTCTAATAAAGCCACTTTCAATCAAGAAACAACAGTTACATCTTATAATTAGATGTGTTTCTGTTAAAAAAAGAAAGAAATTTGGTTAATACCAAAATTGTGGTGTTACATATACACGGATCATTCGAAAATTATATTTTTTTATGAACGATAAAATTGGAAACAAATACTTCAATTATTTTTAGCCACGTTCGTTAATTAAGTGCATTTTAACTCCATAACACGAATTTATTAAAATAAAGCCTCGCGTAATTAGCTTTTACTAATTAATATGTTGGGATGTGTTACACAAAGGTCGCCGCACAATTGATTGAATTTGTTGCAATGAATGTATTATTAATTACACATGCCAACGTTATTATCAAATGGAATTTTCTACGTAATAAAACATATGATTGATCAGTACTACTATTATTAAACACATCCTTTGATACTGATGTAACCTGGGATTTTGTTGGTTTTATTTTATAAACGGAATTACAATTGCAGCAACCTATGATCTTCGTGAGTAGGTCTCCAGGTACAGATCGTAAATACGACGAAAACTTTCTACAGGTTGTCTCTTACGAAACAGCAATACAAGATAGTGAAATTCGAATTGCGCTGACAAGAGGAATGCAATTGCTTTATTCGGAGCGAGACTGGATGTCTCCAAAGATGAGGTTCTAATGAAGCAATTGAAAAATGAATGAATAAAGAAATAATATCGTTATATAATACTTGTGAGAATTGCTCCATCGATTTACAAGTATTTTTTTGTCTCCCCAAAAAAAAATTAAACACGTGAAATTCGAACGTTCCACTTTCTTAGAATAAAAGCGATACGAACGTACTCTAATTATACATCATTAATATAATGACATTTAATTATGGCGTTGGCAAAAAATAATAATAAAAGGCTGAATCCTGGCAAACGTTCTAATTCCAATCATGCGATCAATTCATTAGCTCTTGGTGTCAATCCATTAACGTCGTTCGCATTGGAACGAATTAAACGATACCTTCGTGTGTTTGCGCAAATTTACGAAATTGCAAGGATGCTCGTCCTGTTCATTACCTAAATCTACAATTATAAGCAATCAAATACTTATATAATTGACCGAAATTGACTTGAATTTCAGAATGATCAAAGTTTACATAATGAAAAAGAAAATAGAATTTATTCAAATAATTTATATTGAATTGAAATCATAAAGATCAAAGGAAATCTATATTTAATTTAAATGAAATATGTATTTAGTGTCTGTTTTGTAACAGGATTAGTGTAACAGGATTAGTGATGAAATAAACGATCGTCTAGTTTGTAATTAACGTTGAAAACATAATTAATTTCAGTGAAAATTGTGGACGACCACTGCAAATAAAATTAATCCTTTTTTTCTCACTCGGTTTGCAAATCAAATCAATGAGATTATGAATATTTAAAAAAAATGTTTTAATTAATTATCCAACATATTTTATCTAGAGAAGCGATTCTAAAAGTGGGGGTCGCAAAATACATTTGGGGTTGCAGAAAAATTGATGACAGATTGAAGTTTGAGAATCGCTGTTCTAGAAGATTAAAATCCTTCTCAGGAACATTTTAAATGTTAACAGACACATATTATCGGTTTAATGCGAAAGGTCGCATGTTTCGATGGGGATTATTCTTGGTAATTCTGCAAAATCGGATGCAGCTTTGCTCGACAACTATCTAACTATCTTTGTTTTTCGATAAACTGCAATACTCACTAAGAGATTATATGAAGTATTTAATCTAAATAATTCTAGAATACCAAATACGACGTGATCTCTACTTTTTAGACGAAGATAAAAGCTTAAACAATTTCAACAATACTTAGACTGATTGTTTTATAATATCAATAAAAAAAAACTAAATTTTAGTATATAATATATTCTAAAAAAGTACTAAACAAAATTATAAAGTCCGACCAAGTTTTAAGTCGTGTTTCCCAAATTTCCCAATAATCAACAAAGCTATTCAATGAAGTGTAAATTTGATAGGCTTGATCTAGTAAATTCCTGAACATTTCAGGTATTATATTCCTATTGCAGAGATGTTACAAATGCAATGTTTTATGAACTACGATGATTGCTGTATTTACGTAATTAGTGATTGGGGAATTGTGGTTTGTGTGTGTAGAGTTTGGATGTAATGTGCCAAAAAAAATCGATTGTGTAATTACATTTAGTGGGGTGTAATATGCTTTTCTTTTGAAGATCTGTCAACATGAAGTTTGTGTTTTGGGGAGGTTAAGAAGCAATGAAAAGAAGAAAGGAGATCGTAGCCGGTGCTAGTGAAATATACCCCTAGCATTTAACGTTGGGGGGTGTTGGGATTTTCAATGGTCTGTCTGTGGAGATGAAAATGGGAGCGATAACCGCGCCGCTGAGTGCGTTACCCCTGTCTGGTCGCATTCGTGTGTATGTACTTTATTTTTGGTCAAATGAGCAATAACCTTCAAATGTGTACACTTTCTTTCTGCCAAATCTTCTCATGGTAGTATACATGCATATATATATATATATAGAGGAAAGAACTATGATTTACCTGAATGTAAGTGGTGATGGTCTGGTCGGATGGTCTGTCGGTGATCAGGAAGTTAAAGCCTTTGTATTTAATTTCGGCGGGAGCAGGTCTGATGTCCTTCGGCCTCATGTTGTTCATTGCACGTTTACACAGTCAAATAGAAATCGTAATCCTTTCCTTTCTCCGCGAAATTCCTCCAAAGAACTCCTCCTCTAATGGATTCTGTTATCACTCTTTAATTTGTATGAATTCCGCAAAGCTCAAATATTGCGCTGCTCGTTTGTTCAAAAAAAATCAAATTCCTCCCCCCTCCAAAAAAAAAGAGTCACAAATCAACCACAAAGAAAACAACGAAGAAGATATCCCAAAAGTAAATAAACAATAGAGAATAGGTTTCGTTCAAATGTAATTTTTTTAAAAAAAATTAAAACAATAATTGCAATAACTAATTATTAATTATTAAAACAGACGACAAAATACATATAAATGTATATATATATAAAAAAGTAAAGAAAAATTGATAAAATAAGAAGCAAAAGCTTGACGATCGAATTTGGAGCGAGCAAATCACGATGCAATTATTATTATAAATATATTTAGTAATATTTCCTGTTGCGTCCTTCTAAAAACCGGTATTACTTTGTTTTGATCAGTCTTTTTTTTGTGTGGTTTAAATTTTCTTTGCAGCTTTCTTAATTTCCTCTGAATGAAACCGAAACAAAAAACAAACTACAATTACAATGTCTCTCTCTCTATATGCACTTGAGTTGATATGCTTTCATACAAACATTTATCCATAAATATATATATTTAATAAATATGTTCCGCCCTTACGAAATTTTGCATGCGTTCGTCGTCTCCGTTGAGAGCGGTAAAAATCGTTACGTAATTATTGATGAATTATATTGTGAAGTGGATAAAAGTGTTTACCGAAGACCGGATAACCGAAATCTGGTGATGCAAGGGCGGAAAAGTCTCAGCCGGTGATAATTTCATGCAAGTCGTGTACAAAACTATTTTGTTTTAAATACACCTCGACAATGTATTCACATAACGAGCGTGCATACAGTAGTTAGTATTAAGTTGTTCCAAAATGTTGGTTTCGTTTACTCGCAAAATAATCTAAGTGTATATAGAGAAATATTGTAGTAATGTTTGTGTAAATAGAATTCTCTTATCTCGTCCACCCTCTGCACCCGCACCCTCTATCTCTTGTTAAAAATTTTGTTGTTCTTTGCTGTTGATTTCTTTTTTTTTCCTTGTTTTTTTCTTTTAAATATTAAATATACTTTTTCTTTTGTTAAATAATTGTATTTACTTTAAAATGGTTTTAACTGGCAATTTATTTGTGTTGTGCCTGGCAGTATTCTGCACTGTCTAACTGGAACTCCATGTATGCCTGCACTGCCTCACCGAAATACTGAAACAAAAAACAGGAAAGTGCACATTAGTTAGATAATTCTCTCTCGGTAATCAATGATTGCAATTAAATAATTGCCTCCACTCGCCGGATACTTTTTAATTGCGTCCCGTCCGAGACCCATTTACGATCTGTCACACACACACACAAATAATTACATTCGTGAACACCAGTATATCCACACCATGAGATTGATTCACAATACTATAAATATTACATACAATGTATCCACATTTTACGTAATACGAAACATAGATAACGTCGGAAATGGGGGTATAATGACACAATTACTGATGTCTCATATCGCATATAGTGTGGATGCAACAAAATATTAGGTTACCTAAGGTTAGTTTATATACAAGTCAATGATATTTTCGAGATAAAGAGAAGGTATGCAAAATAACAAATTTATATGTACGTAAATAGATTGATAAGTAAAATTTGTCGAAACATCAATTTCTCCTGTTTATATGTTATCTACGTGCTTTCTAAACTAGCCATAATTATATTTTAATCTAAACTGATTTAATCGGTTATTGATTATACAATCGATTCCGCTTCATCGGGACTAGTATATTTATCCCGGTTCCATTTGTTATTTGCTCACTTTTGTTTTTCATTAAGCGGAATCGATTATATTTATATGTTGTCTAAAATGACTCTTCACTTAACAGTTTAATTGTAAAACAATTAAGTCCAATCTATACTAACTAAAGATTAGTGTTATTGACTACAATCTGCAGTAGTATATTTGCATAAATTAAAACTTTATTACAAAAAGTAGTTTGTTTTGTTGACTTTTGATTTTATAAGCTAAATGAAGATGTTGATATAAAATAATATCAATGTGGTTTAGAGTAACTGATAATTAAACTGTTATTGAATAAACACAGTCAATAAAAGAATCGTAAGCAAATTTTATGAACGTTCTCTTGTTTATAATTATTTATTACGTGTTTCCAATTGACAAATGTTTGCGTATAAATAAGCTTGCAAATATTTTTCAATATGTGTTTAGCAAACATTTAAGTTAGAAATTAAATAAACAAACTACTGAATCAATAAAAAAAACATATTTTAATAAAACGGATCAAATAAAAAAGCAGCCCTTTGCAGCAATTGTATCAACTTTAGCGCTTGTGTCTATAAACACATCCTAAGCTGTACAAATTCTGCATATATTTGAAGTACAGTCGATTCCGCTTAATCGGGACTAGTATATTTATCTAAATTATCCGAAGTTTAATTTTCATTAATTTTTATTTCAACTGTATTAACAATATAATATTATAAAGATTTTAATGAAAACAACGTGGATATGTTTGAACTATTGATTGAAAAATGAATGAATTACAAATACAAAGGTTACTACCGAATTTCTGAACGTCCGAAACGATATTAATTGGAAATGGTTCACATACAGTACAAGTCTAAATCAAATATTAATTATGTTTTGCTCATATAACGTGAATATGTACAAACAGTAATATTGGTAATGATAGAGGTATATTTTAAATTTATATGTTCTTCCATTTCGAGAAGTCCACACAGAATCGAAGCCGCAGGGCGTATAAACGGAAATTGGAATCCGAAATTATTATCGTCAGTCGTAAAATCAATTTTTAACGTCGTTTTTATTATTGACATTCGGAAAAATGCACTTAAACTTCAAGTAAGCGGATATCCATTCTGTACCAGCACTTTTACTGCATATTTAATTGCGTGCACGTAATAATCATAGAAATGCCCTTTTCTGAAATAACGCTTTTTATTCTTCAACTATTCGAAGTCCCTTTACGTACGGTTATGAGCAATATGAAATTTAACGCCTACGCACACGACGCATCCTCATTCAGAAAAATTACGTAATTACCGCATGCGAATTCTCATGTCGATCATGAAATGTGCATTAAATTAATCAATATAATTGCTTCTAATTAGTACGAATTATTCGAATGCCACCGGATGCCTGAGGTTACATGTATTAATACATACACGCACAAATACGTAGGAATGTATACACCATAATGTATTAGTAAATTTATTGTGGTCAGAGCTTTTCCTTTCATGTTCACATATTTTACATTACGGTTTCATTTGCAATTAAATTAAATGTTCTTTACTTTTTACATTATTAGGATACCAAAACTTTTATCAAAATGAAAATATCTTAGAATAGGCAGATACAAATACCTTGAAAAAAATAAAGTATCCTTGAAACACCAGGTGAGTTTGCCTTGTTCAATCTTATAAAGTATAGATTTCGTTAATAAATTTGTCTTTACCAAAAGAAAAGCTTATTTGTATGAGTTGCTCACTTTCCTTATGAAATGTACAAAATAAAATGATTTTCAGCTACCATAAAATGTTTTAGTAATTAATTAAATATGTTTTTCCTTTAAACAAGTTAATCATGTAGGTTGAGGTTGAAGAGTTGATATAGTTTGTTAGATTCTTAATTGGATTTGGTATAATGGTATTAGGCTTGTATCCCTTGCACCTTTCAATTAATAGCAATTGTAAAGGAATTGCCCCTTAGGGTATTAGACGCTCAAACGAGAGCTAACATACCTGCATGTCTATCGATCGGATTATGCAAAACATGAAGTTCGCTAAACGGTAGAACCACCACGACAACTACTCTCAATAGTGACTTAATGAGAGGTATTCACGACTAACAATCAGTTGAAAAACAGAAGTCTAAGAAGCTATATACTTTTCAATTAAGTCGTTTTAAGTATGAATGAATCAAACAAAATCTCACAATTAATTGAGTACGATAATTCAAGATACTATCACAAGAATCTATTCTGGTGAAGTATTAGATTACAGTGATGATGTGGCTTGATTTCCAATACTTTTTCATATATAATGAACATAAATTATAATATCCAAAGTGTTTCGCCTTGTTAACTCTGATATGCGTGTCATAGATTATCAATCACTGTACTAGAATGTATTTAGATGATCGAGGTGATGAAATAAAGAATGAATCAAAGATAATCTTATTACCAATTTTGCAGAACAATATCATTGCGGTGTCTTATCCAAAAACGAATCGAAGAGAATCTCAGCAAATTGTCAATTTTTGCTCGATGAATTTCAGCAATTTTTGCTGTCGCGATTCGCTGCTCAATTCTTCAACTCCAAGGCATGTCCTCGGAGCGTGATAAAATTGCGGTCACTATCAGTTCGCATGACGTGCGCCAGTTGTATTGCATTATGACATGGTTATTGCATTATTGTCCTCGGAGTAGCGTATCAATTTTCGTATAATACGAGCAAAAAAAAAGAAACAATATTTCCCACGTTATGCAATAGACTTTATTTGCTGGGATTCCTGAAAATCGAATCTTTTCATGACATAACTGGGTTCAATGCAAACCCAATAGACCTGCGTCGATTCGGCGAACTGCATCATAACAATAATCAGGTTGCTCTCTGCAGGCGATCCAGTCTATGGCTTCAAGGAAAATTATATAAATTTTCAATTCACTTCCCTTTATGTAAACGCAAATTATTTCCCTTTTGGGATTCGCTGCACGGAATACTTTGATCGCGATGAATTTTAATTTTGTTTTCCCATTCATATCTTTTTCTTGACCTTGAGAGGTTCGTACTATTCCAAATCTTTTGAACGTTCCGATTGATACAATCTACATTTTTTGCACGATTTTCTCTAACAATTACTATTTATAATATTCTTGTTTTATCAACATTTAAAAAAAAAACACTCAGCTAAAAATAAATTAAAAACATTTGGTAGTATATAAATCATTTGCAGTGCAATATTAGTAAATATGTTGTACCAAAAATATTCTGATAAACGAGGTTCGATGCTGAGTGTAATTTTAGAGAAGAAAAGTGAATCACTTTGTTTGTTGTCGTTTCTTGTGCGTATTTTTAATACTTATTTTTATAATTTTAATTTACGTAGAAACAAGTTGTACGAGAGTGCCCATATTTTGGCAACGCAAGAATTCTTGTAATTAACGTTGTTAATATCCTCAAGGCTACTTGTCGCTTTTTCTCTCTCTCTCTAGTTTTACTTTATTTATTTTACATTTTTTTGAAGGGTTGCCAACAAACCGAATCGATTCAATGGAAGTTATTAATAACCGTGGACACGTTATGCAATGGCTGGCGTTATAGGACGTTAGAATTTAATAGAGACAGCGACAACAAACAGCATTGATGATTGAGAAGACTTCGAGAAAGTGAACGTTGTTTGTTTTGCAGAATTATTTACGCGAAAGTTTCCATTTTAAACTAGAATATTCCCATCTTCGTATTAGCAGATTTTTTAGAAAAACTCAAGTGTAGTTAGGTTTTATTTCAAAAAAGAAAAGGTCATTGCCACTCTGAGAAATCACCGCCGGAAACTAGTATTGATCAATATATTTCGTGCATACGATTGCAATAAGCTATGAATAATTTAGAGAGGTTTTATATATTTATTTAAAATATATATTTTATTAAAAATATCAATCAATAATATATATGAAAATACTCTAAACACATTCTAATAATATTATCAAAATTTCGGTATAATTTAAATAAAAGGTAAATTTGATTACGTGATTAATCGGTGATTCATACTCTATTATGGCTTCAAAATGTGTGGCACAGTTTCAAATGCATTGAATTCTATGTTAATAATCGGGGATGAGTGAAAGACGATTTAGGATTCATCGAACCGAATCACAACAATCCGATAATTTCGATATATCCAAATGAATTGACAACATCGGATTACGTAATGAAATGAATTTACGCGAATTGACGATTTGTAATTAGTGTAAAGAAAATAGAGTTGTTAAATTTGGAAATTGGTTTAGTACGAATTAGAATAGTAATGCTTACCACTATAGGTGTTCTACTTGTGAGAAGCGGAGCACAACTGATTCTTAGTTGTTTAGCGAAAGGCATAAACAATATCAGGGCTGACGCATCGTAGGCTTATCATATAAGAAAACATCGGCTTTAACAATACGTGCGCTATATAAGGAAGAAGACTCATGCGACTCGATGAAGGAACTTATAACATGCGTTCAAGAAGAAATACAGCTGCGGATGCATTACTGATCCGTTGTTTTGCTTCTTGCATCTGGCAATGATTGCAAATCAAATTACCCGACGTCCGTCAAGCAATAAACTCGATTGCGATAATGTCGTTTGCGAGATCGTTTTAACAAAGTCTTGCCACTTAAAGCGATTGATCGTCATCCGAAAGGAGTAAAACTAAATGCAATTGTATTGACCCCACTAACGGATCGGATCCAAATTACTATTACCATTAACCAAAGAATAAAGGGATAAGGGAATAAAGGTGGTTATGTATTGATATTATCGAAGTAGATGAGCAATTTCACTCGGAAGTAGATGCATTATTCACAGGCGCAGTGAAATGACATCTTTAGAACCACTCAGTATAGTATTGTGCAATATGCAATATAACCAAATGATGTTGTTATATCAGAGCATGGGGTAAGAAAAATGGATAATACCGATTCATAATGTACAAACAGTTATTGAAAGAAAATATTTGTCCAAATTACTTGAAGAATTTCCAAAAAATTAGTTGGACAAGGACAACTAAAACCGAGTCAAAACATACAAAAAATGAAAGTCTAAAACTACTTGGATTTGATTATATATATTGTAATCCAACTCAAGCCGAACTCAAATACACATTTATGAAAAGAAAATGTTTGTGTAAATTAGTCAAAATTGAAAATACAAAAAAAAATAATCTCTTGCCCAAATCCAAGAGATTATTTTTTTTTAGATAGAAGTTTAAAAATATCATCATATTACGTATTCGTGCAGATAAACAATGATCGGAAATGGATAACAAACTAGCGGGTTATTGAACGCCGCAGATGGGAAACTTTGCACGACCTTATTACAGTAATACCCCCGGGGTACATTCCTAAGCCGTGAAGCGCAAAGCGAAACAACGTTAAACGGGGTCATGTACAAATTACAAGGTAAGTAACATCAAAATTTAATTGTACCAAATATAATTATTAAATAAAAATGTATAAATTAAATAAATGCATATGAGAATATTACAATTTAGATGTTTTTTTTAAACGTTATTTAAAATTAAAATACATTTCGCAATCAGGACTAATCAGCTAATCGTAAATGTAAAATATGACGAAAAGCAAATATTAATGATATATTAACAGTCCTTACGAATGCAACGTACGTGCTTATTCTTGCGATTATGATATTATATAATTTCCGGTTGATACGATTAACAGCCTACTGCAAACTGTCCCTCTATAAATAGATGTTTACAATGAAATAACTACAAGATGGGAATACCCGTGGGAGAAAGTTAACGAATAAACGGCGACGAGTAGCGGTACATTCGAAAAAAGAGCAATATTTCGAATGGTCAGTGTTTAATTTCATTCATTCTTGTTTAAAAAAAAACCGTTGGCACATAAAAGCAAAAAAAAGTGAAATCAGCTTATTAATGAGGTATGATTTAGTTCTGTTTGCTGGTGGTGAGGTAGGTCAACACAAACCTACGGGCAATATATTTTTCTCAGTTTCTTCCAATATTTGTCTTAACTTATTAAACAAGTATTTTATATCACTTTTTTTTGTATTAATTAATTGAAAAATTACATTTTGATGACAAGTTGATTTGAAAAAAAGTTAAATTATTTGAAGTAAACAAATAACAAAAAAATCTTCATCAATTAAATGAATTATTTAATAATTATAATTTTTCGAAGTTCTACGTGTTTCTATTTGCCAATTTACACAAATTTATAACGAAATAAATATCTAAACAGCGCTAATTACCTGCAGCTACTAAATATGACCTTGAAGTAGAATATGACCTATCCAGAAGTGAAATAAATGCATAGACGTATGCACTTCGCGACCTTCGTAGAAACTAACACCTTTTCATTTCGGGCATTTGCGTTAGAATGAAGCTAAGGTAAACAGAACACGTCATCTTTTGTTGATCATTGAAAAGGAGGCGCAGAAAATATATATGTAAACATTTCTAATGAACGTCGCACACCGAAACGACACCGAAAACCGTATTTAATTTGCACGAAATTAATACAAATATTTACGTTCAATTTGTATTTCTTATCAAGAGTCGGCGCCGCCAAGAATGCGCGATACGGAATGTCTGTTGCGTAATGTTGCGTTCGTCTTGTCTCTCACAATTGAATGAATTTAGAGGACGATACATTTTGATAAATCTAATTTATTGCAAGCACTTTGAGGTCAGAGGTATTTCATTAATATTTCTTAATGCAATTGAGATTACAATTCTAGTAAAATTTCTTAGTTATCAAAATTATTCTATTGCAGCAACATATTATTTGCACATTAGTTGATAGATTCTTGGAATGGAAGTTTATTATAAGTATATATATGATTTTTATAGGACAAACACAATTTTCAGTTCGAAATACACAATTATATATGAACGCAATTAGGATATAGTTAAAAATTGATTACATATTGATTTTCCTAATTGTTATTTTATTATCTTTAAACTAATTTGTTTAGAGGTTTCTATTGTATTTAAGAACATTGGACGTAAATATTGTGAAATTTTCAAGTAGACAAATTTAATTTACTTAGACTAGTTTTGCCGAAATTATAGTCAATAGTTGATTCATTAGGTTTGAAATGATTTGTTATGATTTCGCTTATAATAGTTGTGTTAAAAGTATGTTTTAATGTATGATGTACAATTTTATCAAAATCACAGGGGGAGTTAATGTACCGAAAACATTAGTCAAATGGAAGGGCTATGTTCATGATCATGATTTGTTTTTATTTGATGTGATTTTTATAGAGTCGAAAATACGTATTTTATCAAATCTGATTTCAACTGGTATCTTGGATTTGGGACTATTTTTATCGTTCGGGATAAATGATTCGTAGACGCATGGGAGAAGAGGAGGTTTGCGAACCGAATAAAATAAGTTAAATCTCCGTTATGAAGCGTGGGAGGAAGAAACAATGTACGAACTAATTACTATCGTTCTATTTCTATAAGTCTAGTCTGGTCTATAAAAGTCGAATCTTTTCATCTCGCTGCGGAGGAGATGAAGTTCGGAGACCGTGGGAAAACATCTACCTGGGCCCTTATGAAAGCAACCGAACGTGAACGGAGATGGACTGACAAATAAAAAAAACTATATATAGATAGAAGTGAAAATGTAATGACGAAGAAAAGGGACTTCTTCTCCGTTGCTCATTGTTATGATAATCGGACGGATTCCGGGAAGGTGACTTTAAAAGGGATGAAAGATGAATTTGGAAGAAGTGCTTTGGCCTCCGTCAGGTGGTTCGTGTATTGTTGACTAGTGTATAGGCGTTTCTTGCAACTTACCAGAGAGCCGGACGGTTTCGGAGACACTTTAGGGCTCGCACTGAAAATTGCTTTTGCAAGAAGTCCGCGCGTATAGATAGAGATAGATATATATGTATGTACGTTATATAATTGGGACAATGCGCAACACGTCCGCTCGCGCCGAATCTGCCTCCGAGAGTGGTCTCAATTTGTTTCACGCATTCTCAGGGGCAGGTCTCGCCGCCCCCGACAAAAACCCCACCCCACTCTTCCCCGGACCACCACAATACAAACTGTTTTAATTATGAAATATACATCAAAAAAATTATATAAATATGCAAATATACAGACCATATTTGGTCTATAAAACAGATCAATGATCTGATCAATGCTATATGATACAATTCGGGTACAAAAAAACAAATATAATCGCTGCCACAATCTGCAGCCAATTAACACAAGACCCAGCAGCATCTTTGGAGGGTTAAACAGTTATATCAAAATGCAAATTTTCCGCGCGTTTTTTGTTGTTTTTTCGAAACAACAAATTAATTAATTTCTTATGACAGCCAATCTAAATACGCGCAAGGTTAAAATGATTTCGTGCACACTGTTGCAAGCAAACTTACAAATATTCCTTTACACCCTTTGATATTTCTGTTTTTTTTTGATACAGTTATTTGTTTTTGCGGTGATTTTCTACTGACAGAAGAACATTTTTTGACTGGGACCGCAACTCGGGAGTGAAAATATAATTATCATGCAGCGTAGTAGTATTTTGCGCCGATGCCAAGACGATTTGGCTTGTGCGAAAAAGTTGTATTTTGAAAAACATATGCGCGGCCGACAGGAATATTTCGTTTTTGGAACGTGGGGGCAACAAAAAATAAAATAAAAGAGAGAAATGGATCGTCAGGATTACATCTGGGCGGGGTTGGGGCGCGATGGGTATGTAACATTTAGCCCTTGTTCCTTTCCTGGAAACTGGATTTTTTCTACCTAAGGGATGGGGAGGCTGTTCTAACACAAGTTTATACAAGTTATTTTTTTTAATCGCGATTTTTCGTAGAGGGTAAATGAAGATGTGGGAGTAATATTTATAGTCTCTGACTCCGTCGGGAAGTCTTAAAATACACATTTCGTTGAGGGTGTTAGATGCGATTCCGAAAAAAAATTCTGGAACCCGTCTCGAACAATAGGTTCCAGAGACCTCCGATGACCTCCATCTCTGCACGACCCTCCGGGGGAGGCATTATATAATTTTTATATATATACATATATATATATTGGATTTCAGTTTTCAGTAGATTTTATTCAGAAATTTATGAAATTATTAAAGAGAGTACTCACCACACTAGCCATACACATTGAAAATGGAATTGAATGTATTCCTTGTAGTCCACGAAATGTGGGAAAAATTGTATTCCGTTTGCACAGCACACTAAAACCGTACGGGCGAGAATATTACATTCGCCGAGCCTTGCCAAGATGGTCGTCGGTATTCTGACGTCAGGCATGCCCCTTTTGCCCCCCACCATGACGTCATCGAAATACTATCAAGTGTTAAAACCGTGCCCCCACCGCAGAGCTATACTATACTTTGGGCGTGTCCTCCATCGCAAACCGCAAAAAGAATCAAGTGGAGGGAGAAAAAACTTATTTCAAAAACCAAAACGTATTTCTTTTCATATACCCTAAGGTATTTTCATTTCGCTAAACCTTCAATTTCAGCCAATATAAGTAACAATCAATAGATCTGATAACAAAAATTACAAGCCAAAGTTAATCAACTTTCAGTAGGATTCCTGAAAAGATGTACACATCTGTACATGAAAATGCATGTGATATAGAACACGTTTCTGAAATCTAATTAAGTTTCAACAAACTAATATTTGATGTTTGAATATGCATAGCAAATGCACATATAGATATAGAAATTGGTTATACAATTTAATGGCAATATGATTAAACAATAGATGATTCTCAGATTCTCCCATCAGGTGTCACCAGCTCGCGGATCTGTGAAGTTTTTATGGAATGATATAACCATTGTAGACAGCAGCGCCATCTTATACTATAATCCATAGTCTAATATGCTAATAGCAATAGAATTCCATAATACAAATTTATTATTTAGTATTACTTAATTTTTACTAAATTAATTGAAACTGTTAGTATAATCCAGTATAAAAATATCTATATGTTCCCGTTATAAGTTAATTATTGCTATTACAGTATTAACAACGTTTTATGTTTCATCCGTTACTTTACTTCCTTTGTATTAACAGGTTTGATGCTTATACTTTTTATAATTACTTTAAATTGACACCTTCGCATCAACTACATCAAAAACAGTTATAGGAATTATAAAGAGATGAAAAATAACGAATCTTAGAACATAAATACCAACTTTATACTAGTTAATAACGGTAATAAATAGAACCATTTATTGATTTATTTGTTTTTACTAATAGTAAATAACTACGAAATTAAAAAAAAATGTTTTGGAAACACCGGTGCAAATGAACGTCATCAAATCGATGTGTTAAGTAATTGAAATCTGTGCGTCCGATGCATACGGTGATTTCAATGCTTACTCCTCCATTCATTAGAGAATTGAACAATTTCCAAATGCAAGTGAATTCAATTTGACAAATCGTTTAACAAAGCAAAGCTATCGTTAATGTACATTTCATATTATAGTTGACTAGGCACAAACGCATGTGGATTTAATGTAGGAGTAAAGTACGTCATTAAGCCAATGCGCCTATGACGCAATTTTAGGTACGTGCGTCACAGCTGTACCAGACTAAACCGAACATCTTGGATTCAAATCCATTCTTTTATTAAAGATCTTTTAATAACTAAGAAAATATGAATGTAGGGCGGAATGACTTAAGTCGATAGCCCTTTGGTTACAATTTTTGACTAATAAAGATTTTTTATTATTATTATTATATGAATGCAATAAAATATAGTTATCATTTAAGGAATACAAGCATCAAAGAAAGGCAATTTTAATGGTTGGAACTTTGAAGTTAATGCGTTTTCTTTAAATCAAAGATGATATAGTATTTAAATAGTTTAAATTTCATATTAAATAATGAAGTTTAAATATTGATATAATATATGTTTGAGAAATGCTGGATTGTAGTTGATAGATATGTATCTTAGTTATGCGGGTCGTCCCGAGGTTGATCCCATTGGATATATTTGTGTATTCGTACTAACAACATCCAATGTTCGCACTTTGTTCGGATCTTTGAAAACTTTAATAGAATTGTAACGGTTACGCAATGGCAAACCTTCAAAAACTCTTTTGAATGTTAATCTGTTTTACATTCGCTTAGGTAATGGATTTAGTAGTGCGCTGGGAGTTGTTCAGTTCGAGCTTCAAATAATTTTTCAGAGCAAATTGTAGAGGTAAGTTTTTTATTTAAATGATTATGAATGTTGATTGATGGATATGATGTAATTACTGGATGGAACTTCAATAACAAAGTTGCTGAGCTTATTAAGGATTTGTTGTTTGTATTTTTGTAGTCGTATAAATTTGGGGTGTTTAAATGCTTGGACAGGACAAGTGGCGACATCAGATGAGGAAAAATTGCGTCTACCGGTGAAGTAATGCTGCGCAATCTCAGAAGGGCAGTAAATAGTGACAGCCAGCTGTTGTGACAATATTTTGATCGTTGTCAGAAATTAGGGAAAGGGTCAAAGTTAAACAAAATCGCATCGAATTCAACAATAAACAAATCGAAATCATGACTATTCTACCGGCAAAGCGGACAACTGCAGCCACCGACGATAAAGGCGAAAGTGCTCAGAATGTAGGTATACTCAAAGCTTTATATACAGCTTGCAGAAACAATGAGTAATCGTCGCGAATAATTAGTTTATTGTTTACTGTTCTCTTTCTAGGTGAATGTTGATAGAAGTAATAGACAGCATAATGCAACTAACATAAATGATGGCAATAAAACAGTAGCCAGGCGACCCTTCAGAAGGTAGACATAATTCCATTGCGAATAGTGAAATATATTTGAGTTTTCTTTTTCTTAGAAGTGCCACTCCTGAAGCCTCTGATCATTGTTTGCGAAAACGATTTAAAGAATCTTCTAAACATTGTAGACGTAAACAGACTAGAGAGCGGAAGAGTCCCAGGTCCGAAATACCAGCTGAAGAAGGCCTTGAAGCAAATGCATCTGCAGCAGCAACTGTTGACTCCAATAATGATGAGGCTGCGACAACAGCAAGAGAAAATGATAATAATGATAATGAGGATGCCACTGGCTTCAATAGTGAGGATGAATATGGAGCTCCACTTAGAAGTGTTAAACCACTCACTGATGAAGAATGGACTACAGTAAAACATTTTTTTTATTTATATATTTTTTTTGTAGAGAACTGTAACTAAACAATGTTTTCTTGCAGAGGGATTCCTTGTTTTCTAGATGTTTGTCTGATCTTGGTTATGAAATCAAGCTTATGAATGAAGATGGAGCGTGTTTGTTTAGAGCTATTGCTGACCAAATTTTTGGGGACCAAGAATTGCATTACATGGTCAGAACATCATGCATGGATTACATTGTGAGTACAGTATCATTACAATATTCTTATGTATATATATATTTTTATTTATTTAAATGGTACAGGTCAAGAATAAAGATTTCTTTGCTGCTTATGTGACTGAGGACTTTGATAAGTATGTGGCTCGCAAAAGGAAGTGGAATGTTCATGGTAACCATTTAGAGATTCAAGCAATGAGCGAGATGTACAATCGCACTATTGAAGTGTATTGTTACAAAATTGAACCAATTAACATTTTCAACGGATCGAAAATCAACGCTGATGAACCAATTCGGCTTTCCTACCATCGCATGTGTCACTACAATTCAATCAGCAACCCGAACAATCCGTCTGTTGGTGTTGGCTTAGGATTGCCTAGTTATCACACAATTGATCTCAATAGAAGGCGAATGGTTGACGCGGTCAGGGCTAGTGAGAATCTCTTAATCGAACAGGTATTTGAAATGTTCTAATATTTCCCGCAAATTTTCCACTAACTGCGATTAAAATTTCCAGACGATGTTGGAAGATAAATTGAAAGCAACTGACTGGGAAGCTACAAACGAAGCCTTGGAGGAGGAAGTAGCACGAGAAAGTTACATACAGTATTTCAGGGATGCTGAAAAGCGCCTGAAACCACAAGGACACGCTGCAGGCAGTAGTTCAACCATCACATCCAGTCAATCAACTTCAAGGTCTTCGTTGCGGCGAGGTTCCGTCTCTCCGAAAGGCAGCAGCTCACCCAAGGGTGGATCTTCACCCAAAGGCGCTGGCTACTCCATGCTAGGTATGCATCATCTTTACTAACACATCTTACAAATTCTAATCCAATTTATGTCGTATAGGTTCATTACGCTCCAGCCCGAGATCATCGAGTGCTACATCTAACGCAACTGATACAGAGTTTCATTTTGGTTTAAAACCAAGCACAGGTCAGTCTCCGAGCACACAGAATATTTTCGATTACGAGCACAGATTTAAAGTTGGATACGATCTTCTAAAGGATACCAAGGAAACTTTACCACAAGACCAACCACCTTGCAAATCGAATAAGATGCTGAACCCTGGTAATATAATAGGTACATTTAGTTTACAATGAACGGGTTTCTTTTCAATACTTTGTATCTATTATTTTCAGGCGAAGATGACTGGGACGATGGTATTATGGCACAAGTGTTGGCAGAGTCGCGAATGTCGTATTTGGATGATTTGAAACGCAACTCTAAGAAATTAGGATCGCCTGGTCCTTCAACTTCTAGATAATTCACTCACGCGAATATAGATTTATCATATACAGGGTGTAAGGATTATACACAAACAAAAATAGGGATACATGTAACAACGATAAGGAAATCATATTCGCTTAGGTTTTCTTCAATATTAATTTTTGCGGGTATTTTTTTTTCAAATCGATCGGATTTATATCAAAGCTTTCCTTTCCATGAGGAGGAAACACATCAATGGACTTAGTTATAATTTTAGGGAGTAATCTAAATTAATTTGCTTAACGGGTGGTTTCTTGTTTATCTTTTACTGTACAATTTTTGTTTGTTTATTATCATTTTCTGTACGTTTATTTTTGTTTGTTTAGGAATGCCTTTTGGTGAGGCAGTTTACGACATGTGATATTTTGTTTTAAGTTAATAAGTTTGTAAAAAAAAGTATATGCTTTTAGATTTGTTCTAATATCGTAGTGGTACGTTTCGCAAAAAAAATCCAAAATACGCGACTCGAAGTGGTGATTTTATTTAGTGCAAACAAAATGTTCTACAACAAGATCACATCACAACATGATATTTAGATGATGATTTGAAGACTTGTCATCATCTTAAACATTATTAGTACAAATGTGCTCTTGTTGTTGTTAACTCTTTCAATTAATTATATTTCATCAAGTATCATTTCCACCCTGTATAAAAAAAAGATCATCCACTAACAACATCAATGTCGAATAATATTTCAGATTAAGTTCTAAGTGGTAATTATTATTTAATATCTGACAATTTTCTATGGTAGCTGCAAGGTGTTTGTTTTTCGTCAGATAGATTTCTATTGGATCTAGAAACGTTTAGCATTAGTATCGCAATTATTAAGATGTTATATAAACGCATGTAAAGAAACGTTTATTACGCAATACTGTAATGCCACGAAAAAATAATTTTAAACTCAATAGTTTTATTACTGATTTAGTTATCATATATGAATGTAGGCAATTTGTAAGTGGGTTTACAATTTTTATTTTTTACATTTATTGATTTGTTGAACAGTTATTAATTAAGGAATTAGATATTGTTTCTTTTTAATATGTACATATATATATATATTTAGATATATAATTCAATTATTTGTATGTGCCATCAGTTATTGTTTCAGCTGATATTCATTCCCAATTTGTCTCCAGAATAATCTTCAACAAGAACAACAACAAAAAAAGCATATTAATTATTATTATTATATACATATACTTGTAATTGAAACTTTGTAAACTGATAGCACACTCGATCCGCCCATTTAAAATTAATTTCGTAGGCCGAGTCTGGGATTTATGTTCAGTAGTGTTCGAGCTATGAATTTGTAATGTCCGAAGAAATGTTACGGATAATTCTGTTTTCCCTGTTACTACCCACTGTATTACTGCAATCCAACTATGATCAAGACAGCAGGTGAGTTTCGATAGTAAAGAATGCAATAATATTTGGGATTATTTTTTCTCCGATGAAAATTTCACTCTTCTACATGCAAATAGTTTTTTTTCCCTTTCTTTTGTAAAATTGGGCACGTTCATTTAAATAATAAGTGTGGATGAGACATAAAAAGAAAAACGTAACTTAATTATTAGAATCGAATGGTTTTTATATTACTCTATATGATAACCCTTGGCATAAATTGTCTTTAATTATTAAATAAAAATCAATACACATTTCAACTGTTTCTTTCCTTTTACCCTATACAAAAAAAATATGAATTGGCATTTTTAGTATGAATTTAGCAAAGCACTAGAATTTCTATAATCACTAAAAGTATGTTCAATATGAACGAAAACTGCAAACTCAAATAGTTTAAATTTTTGTTTGTATAATTATTAAAATTATTTTTTTTATTGTATTTCCACTGATTTTTATTCAATATTGAAAAACTATAGTAATTTAATATTAAATTAAAATTAAATTTTAAAATATTCAAAGATTTATTCTATTAGTTGCGCAAAATTAATACCTTTTGTATTCATCGACCCTTTAAGTAGGCTTAACTTAAGTAAGCAGTAAAAAATAAGTACCCTCTTAACAAAATATATCAATTTATGATGCTTTCAACGCTGATCTAAGATGATTAAGCTTCAAACATCTGGAATGACTTAAGTGATATTATCTGAGTTTTTAACAGACCCTATTAGTACAATATTATATAATTAATGATTATGTTATATAAATGTTTTTCTATGCATTGCAGGACAAAAAGACAGGTCGATATAAAATTAGAGATATTAAAAATTTGTATATGAATATTTATTGTCTTTACTTTTTGTTTTTTTTATTATAAAATAAAATTTTATATTAAATAATGGGAGGTGAAATTATTACATGGTTATCGATTACCAAGTAGGCGTATTTGTGTAATATATAATTTCATTTATCAATGAAATTTGATATATTGAATTTCTTTTTAAGGCCTTTCATTGAGGTGTCCAGTGGAAATTTGGTATTCCATGGATCTCATAACAAAGATGTCGTTTTAGAAACAACTGGCTTGGGTCGTGTTATGTTGAACAATATGGATCTTACAATAATGATGAATTCTGTAGGTGTTTTTTTATTATTTATTCACAAGGAGTCGCAATTATTTGAGATTATATTCTAGATGGATACCTCTATTAAAGGAATGGATCAGGTGAAAGCTGACATATCTACCGTTCAGAACGCTGTACAACGCTTTGAATTATCTTTGTACGGCAAATCTGGCATTTTGAAGAGGATGGAAATTGTTGAAGCCAGCAACACAACGAACGGCAGGAACTACACGATCCTTTTCACCGTTTTCAGGAGAAGGCTTGTTGGTCTTCAACGAAAATTGCGTGTTCTAAACAACTTGTTAATAGTCAACGAATGCTCTAGCAATCCTTGCCTGAATGGTGGAACATGCGTAGATATGTTTAATTCCTACATGTGCAGATGCGTAGATCAGTGGGAGGTACTATTAAATCAACTTTGTTCTTAAGTAGGTTTTATTTGCATGATTTTTTAGGGACCTAACTGCGATGTAGATGTTAACGAATGTAAGTGGTTTGCTGGTACAGACTTGGGCTGCCAAAACGGCGCTACTTGCGTCAATACAAAAGGATCTTATGAGTAACTATTCAGTTGATAAAGTTGGCTTTTATAATTCAAATAATAATCTCATAGGTGTAATTGTGCTGATGGATGGTTCGGTTTGCATTGTACGAAACGATCCCAGGATTGTAGCTCTAACAGCGAAATATGTGGTCATGGTACATGCGTTTCTCAATCTACAGGAATTGGATTCAAGTGTATTTGTGATCAAGTAAATTATTGGATTTAAGTGTATTATGATATTTAAGCTATTGTGATTATTTGAAGGGCTGGAAAACTGATGGTACGAAACCTGCTTGTACCGTGGATGTGAACGAGTGTGAGAATTACCAACCCCCATGCTCAATCAATCCTCCGGTGAAATGCGTTAATTTACCAGGAACATTTTACTGTGGTCACTGTCCCAACGGTTATACCGGAAATGGTTTTTATTGCACTGATATAGATGAATGCGCTTTGTTCAACGGAGGCTGTAGTTTAAATCCTATGGTACAATGTATTAACACACTTGTAAGGGAATGTTATATATTCATAACGAATGATACAATAATTGAGTATTTTAGGGCTCCAAAAACTGTGGTCCATGTCCTCCTGGATACATTGGTAATGGTATGACCTGCTCATACCAAGGCGGTGTTTGCGGTGTAAATAACGGAGGCTGTAGTCCATTAGCACAATGCCGAGATAATTCAAGTAATATCTCATATATATAAATTAGCTTAAAAAAAATCTTGAAGAATATTTTAAATTTTGCTTATTTTAGGAATCAGCTCAACTTATGTTGAATGTATTTGCCCAAAAAGCTATTCAGGAAACGGATTCGGCCCGGATGGTTGTACCAAAAATCCTGCAGGACCTTGCGCTTCCAACCCTTGTCAGCACGGTTCCTGTAGTACAGGACCAGATGGAGGATACGTATGCTTGTGCAATAGGCAATACACTGGTAACAATTGCTCAATAAGGAAGAATCCATGCGATTCTAGTCCTTGCAAGAATGGCGGTGAATGCGTTTCCTTAACAGTAGCTCACATCTGTATCTGCAAGCCACCATACGGTGGCAAAAACTGTGATAATGAATTACAAGGTAAACTACATTTAGTAGATAGTTTTAGCAACTACTTAATTATTAATAATTATAGAGTGCGGCCGCAAAATTGGCGTTAGTGGTTTTATAGAATACCCAATGACCAATGCAACTAGAACGAACAGCTTTAGTTGTGCTTGGGTCATCGAAACTCAATCCTCAATGGTGTTAAACATAACATTCAGCAAATTTCAAATGTCCCAATGCGCTTCGAACTGGTTACAGGTAAATTGATGGATAATCGGTGAAATGATTGACTATATTTGTTTAATGATTAGATCAATGACGGCTCAAATTCTGCATCTCATCTGATTGGAAGATATTGCGATGAATCTCCAAATACATTTGTAACAACAAGCAATACAGTCTACATTTGGTTTAGACATATTCGAGGAGCTAGGCCTAAATTCAAATTAGGCTGGAACTCAATATTACCAGGTATTATCAATTGTAATTGAAATAAAACTGTTATTAATCAATTCATTTTTAGTTTGCGGAGATAGCATAACCGTTACAAGCCATGGTTCGTTCAAATCGCCAGGAGCTCCTGGTGTTTACCCTCCAAATCGTGATTGCTATTGGAGTTTCACGGCGCCTTTTGGGAAGCGTATACAATTCCACTTCTTCTCATTACTTATAGGATATAATAAAGATTGTAGCAATGATTACTTAGAATTTAGAGAAGGATTGAAACCTAGTGATCCATTACTAGTGCAGTATTGCAATACCTCACATCCAGAACCTTTGATATCACCAGGACATGAAGTCGTCGCGCATTTCCATTCAGACGAAAAGGGATCATTCCCTGGTTTTCAAATTAGCTATTCCATAGTAGATGGTAAATTTTGAACATTTCAAATGAAAGTTAATAATGACCGAGATTTTCAGGTATTTCCGGATGCGGAGGCATATACACAACACCTGAAGGAATTATTAATTCACCTGCCACAAACGGAAAATATCCTGTTAATAGTTTTTGCGAGTATAAGATCAAGTTGGTTGGTTCAGCTAAGATCTTGCTCAACTTCAACGAATTTTCATTAGAGCAATCAGTCAATTGCGATTTCGACTCGCTTACTGTAAGTTGATTATAGGTAGTATATCCATAAATATAAAATTTGTTTTATAGATTTATAGTGGCTCAAGCATTGATGCACCATTGGTTGGTAAATATTGTGGAAAAACAAAGCCTGCGCCTTTGATGACTTACGGATCAGAAGTAATGCTTGTTTTCAAATCGGATTGGAGTCATCAGGAAACTGGATTTTCTATTAAATATGAAACAGGTTTTTATTGTTAGATATTATTCAAAGAATAATTGAATATAATTGTTAAATTACATGTTAGTTTGCGGTGGACAATATATTGATCCAAACGGAACAATATATTCTGAGAATTTTGGAACTAACGTTACCTCTGATAAAAGTAGAGAGTGCATCTACAATATTATGCGTCCGAGTGGAAATTATATAAGATTGGACTTTTTGAATATCAATTTTGCTGGTGCTAACAAGGATTGCACTACTGGATATATAGAGGTTAAATAATACATTCATAATAATAAATGTTATAGTTAACTTCTGTTTGTAGGTCAGAGACGGAGACAATGAAAACTCCACTTTGATTGGAAGATTTTGTGAAAGTATCCCTAGTACTAAATATTCAACATATAATTATGTCTGGATTAAGTACGTTGCATCTGCTGGGATTCTGAATGAATTCTATATAAATTACACATCTATATCCAATAATGGTATGAGATTAAGTTAATACTATTTATCCAAATATTACTATTTTATTTGTTTAGGCTGTGGCGGTATTTTCAAAAACAAGGTTGGGTCCATTGAATCCCCTGATGATTTGGATAGTTACACTGATGGACTCACTTGTTCTTGGCTCTTAGTAGCTCCAGAAGACTATGTAATCCAATTAACTTGGGTTAAATTCAATTTGGAACAAAGTTATAATTGCATTTATGATAAAGTAACTATAATGGATCAAGGTACCGAGCCGGTTAGCACTATTGGAACTTATTGTGGAAACAAGTTACCACCAACTCTTATAAGTTCCTCAAATTTGGTGAAAATCAAGTTTGAAATTGACAACAGCAAAAATTTGGAAGGATTTTTATTTACGTACACATTTATTCATGAACGGAATAGTGAGATTGTAGTTTTACCATGTCCTTCTTCTAATTAGTTTTTGTTTTAGTGTGCGGCGGTCAATATTTCACAAGTTCAGGTGTTATTAAGAGTCCATATTATCCCGAACACTATCCAAGTAATCGAGATTGTACTTGGATAGTTACAGTTCCCGCTGGTCAACAAGTAATGTTGAATGTTACTTTCTTTGAAATTGAGCAGTTCCCAAATTGTCGATATGATTATTTGGAAATTCGAAATGGTGGAACTGCGGCTGCTCCACTGATAGGAACTTATTGTGGAACGAATATACCGAAGATTATTCCATCACACGCCAACCAAATGTACATGCGATTCAAATCAGATACGACTAAAAAAGGACCAGGTTTCTTGATAGCTTGGAGCTCGACTTCTACTGGTTGCGGAGGTTCCTTGACATCGCCTATGGGCACAATCATTTCACCTCAATACCCAGAACCTTACCATAAAAACACAGAATGCTTTTGGAAAATATCAATTAGCGCTGGATCTGTTGTGCAAATTGTTTTCGCTGATTTAGATTTAGAACCACATGTAACTTGCGTTTTGGATTATGTTGAAGTATGTACACAAAAAGGATTTAGAAGCAAATCATATTTGAAGTTTCTTTTTAGATATTTGATGGTATTGGAACAAATGCTAAGAGCTTAGGAAAGTATTGTACAAGTCATATCAAGATGCCTGCTTACATAAGATCAACTTCAAATCACATGACTATTAAGTTCAGATCTGACCTTAGTTTCCAAGGGAGAGGTTTTCAAATTAAATACACCACAATTTGTTCACACGTTATAACAGGATTTAATGGAGTTATTGAAAGCCCTGGGTACCCAAACACCTACGAGTCTAAGCAGCATTGTACTTGGGAAATCGGAGTTCCTGACGGTAACAAAATCAACATGACCTTTTCCCAATTCGAGTTAGGTCCTTCACTTTGGAACGACAAGAATTGCAGCAAAAACGATTTCCTTGAAGTAAGTTTGAACAAATTTATTTTTTATTTGATTATTGATGTTTGTATCTTTGAAGATTAAATACCAAGATGAAGAAACTCTGACCAGCTATGGCTCATATTGTGGCAACAACACACCTTCTGATATAGCGATATCATCCAATAAGTCGCTAGTGATCTTGAACGTGGATCATGCCATGTACAATTCCAGATTCAGATTAGAATGGCATATCGATGGTAACAATTTGGATGTTAATAATAATAAGAATGTTGCCATTAATTGATTAATTATTCTAGGCTGTGGTGGACTACTTACTCACCCTACAGGTGTAATTACAACTCCAAATTACCCCAACGGATATGTCTATGACACGAGATGCGATTGGTTGATACAAGTTGATTATGGATACAGTGTACAATTTACTATAAAGGATATAGACCTAGAAAGATCGGACAAATGCGAATATGATTATATAACAGTAAGTATTGTACATGTATGTTGCGTCATTATTTCAAATATTTGCTTAGTTCTACAATGGTGTTGATGACAATTATCCTGCGATCACGAAAATTTGCTACATTGGTCACAATCCTCTGACTATAACTAGTACAGGAAACAGCATGTTTGTCAGATTCCAAAGTGATAGCTCATATAATGGAAAAGGATTCTCAGCTGAGTATTCAACAATTGCATCCAGTAAGGCTTTTAACAATTCCTAGCTGCAAGTAATAAATTAATTTCTTTTTAGAATGCGGAGGAAAGTTAACTGCTTCACATGGAAATTTACATTCCCCCAATTATCCATTAAATTATGATAAAAATGATAGTTGTACATGGTTAATTGAGATCGAGGAGAATCATGTTATAGAATTGGAATTCAAAGATTTTGATTTAGTCAATTTATGCGACCGCAATTATCTGAAGGTTACTAAATAATTTTATTTTTATATTCATCAAGTATTATATCATAATTTTTATTCAAGATTTATGATGGACCAACTCCAGCTTACCCTCTGCTTGCTAAACTTTGCGCCAATAAGAAACCAAATGGTACTCTTACTTCTAGAACAAACCATTTATATATTGAAATGATCACAAATCCATATTTGACCAGTAAAGGATTTTTAGCGTCATATAAAACGGTATGTAACTATATTTCAAGGAAACATTTTTTAAAATAAAAATATTAATGTTTTAGGCTTGCGGCGCTGAGATTACAACACAAGGTGGTGGGCTAATACAGTTCGCAAAAAACAACCAGTTTTTTATGGACCTTACAGAATATGAACATTGCAATTGGACAATAAGAGCTACAAATCCAAGTACGCAAAATTAATCAGTAACTCTGTAAAATTCAATAACACTTTATTTCTCTTAGGTGATCATATTTATATAACAATAGTCCATATGGAATCGGATCAATGCTATTTGTATGACGGTCTCAGCATCTACGATGGTGAAAATAACAATTCAACACTCATAGGTCACTATTGTGGTAACCAAATACCTCCAAGGATTAAAAGTTCCGGTTCTACTCTGCATCTGGAAATTGATAACATGGATCAGGCCTTCACCGCTAGATATTCAGTTTTAGATACGCGTATGTTGTAGTTTTCTATAATCATCTTTATATTTTATTAATTATATTTCAGACTGCGGAGGAACATTGGAATCACAAACGGGCTTATTTGGTAGTCCAAATTATCCTGACAATTACCCGGTGGATATACAATGCGAATGGATACTAAAAACGTCTCCTGGAAATCGTATTATGGTAGCCTTCACGGAATTTGCTTTGGCACCTTCGGACAACTGCAATGAAGACTATGTGGAGATTCGTGAAATTGATGGAAAAGGAAAATTGTTAGGACTATTTTGTGGAAACAATATACCAACAAATATAACAGCATCTGAAAATATTTGGATTTACTTTAAAAGCGATAAACCTCTATCAGGGGAGGCGCAGACAACAGCTAAAGGATTCTTAGCCCAATATACTTTAGGTAGAGCGTTATCATAATATTATAGTTTGAATAATTTGTGAACATATTTTTCTTTAGTGCACGGCAACACTTTAGAAGGACCAAATGGCACAGTAACGTCTCCGATGTATCCCAGGCTGTACTTTCAAAACGGTGAATTCAGTTGGAAGATCACTGTCAAACCCGGTTACCAAATAGCTCTTACATTCACAGACTTCAACCTCGAGTATTTTGATAATGACGGATGTTATGTAACTTTCCTAACGGTACATTTATGGGACATAGACATGCATTGTTGTATATTAATTTTTTTTCTTTCACTGTAGATTTATGATGGTAGTGACAGCAACTCTCCAGAAATTGGAACTTACTGCGGATTCACAGCTCCCGAGGATATAAAGAGCACAAAGAATGTGATTTTCATTAATATAAACTTTGATATCATTCGCAAGGGATCTAGATTTTCATTGAACTGGCAGGAAATACGAGAGACGGAATCTAAATTACCAACAGTCAAAAAGATCAACACCGATGGTTGTGGTTCCGATGATCCCATTGCTTTATCAGATAATGAAAGATTCAATATTACATCTCCGGATTATCCTAACATGTACAGCCATCCTTTGACGTGCACATGGCTGTTTTCCACCACTCCTGATAAACATCTAGCAATACGGTTGAACACACTAGATTTGCATACGTCTGGCAACTGCGAATATGGAGACTCCATAAGTATATTCACTGGAGGCATAGGATTGTTAACCTATCGGTTAGTGGAAAAACTTTGCCATCAAAATGAAACAGGCCAGCTCATATCAACCTCGAAATTAATGAAGGTGGTATTTAAAGCGAAGACATTCACAAATCAACAAAGGTATACAGGATTCTCCGGATATGTTGCAGCTGGTAATAGACTTTATTGAGTAAAAATCAAAAAAATTGCTGTTAACAATATATTTAAATTTTAGTTTGCGGCGGTAGCGTCAAAAGCCCGACAGGAATTATTAAAGTTGATAATGTTACAGAGTTTGTTGTGGATTCCATTGTTGAAGTAAGAATTTTTAATTTATAACAAAATCACTCTAACATGTATTTTTTATAGTGTGTTTGGCATGTTGAAGCCCGACCAGGAAAAACTATACGCATAGAATTTTCCGATTTCCATCTAGGCGAAGACTCAACATCATGTAAAAATTATATATTGGCAAGTATTAATATTTTGTAACAAAGAATTATCATATAATTTTGTATTTGATTTATAGTTCAAGAACGGCCAATATTCAAGTTCTCCAAATTTAGGAAATGGTAAATATTGCGGTAACGAAAAGCCTCCAATTCTAGAAACAACTGGAAATTACCTCTATATAAAATACTTCTCTTTATCCACACTTACAGTTAAGTTTATAATATTATGAATTAACATTTATTTAAAATATCTATTTTTTAGAACTTTAAATTACGCTATTCTGAAAGGTCGATTAATTGTGGAGGAAAAATAATATTATCTTCATTGGATAACAGTACTGTGATTTCATCTCCCAATTACCCAAATATACCATCGCCTCATATAGAGTGTATCTGGACTATAGTTGCTCCGCCTGGTGAATCAATCAGAATAGACTTCTTAAGAAGATTTGATTTTCGATCTAACAAAGGGTAAACTATATTTATATTAAATGCATCATAATAACGTAGTTTGCTCTAGATGTACTCTAGAATCCGTTGAAATTAGAAATGGAGGTACACACTTGTCACCGTTAATTGGAATATTCTGTGACGAACTTCCAAGCACCCATGTCAGTTTGGAGAATATGATGTATATTAAGTTTACTACGGACATCGATGAACCAAGTAATGGATTTCAAGCACAGGTATCTGTGGCAGGTTGCGGTGGAATAATAAGAGGCTCCTCTGGTGAAATCAAATCACCTGGATATAACAACAGGAAAATGTATATGTACAAGGCGGACTGCAAGTGGGAATTCATCGGACCCAATGATCATTACCTGGACTTAAAGTTTGAGACTATCGACCTTCCCTTTTCATTGACTACAGATTGCAATAAAGTGGATCACGTCACTATAACAGAATATAACAAAATTAATAGGACAGAGGAAGTAATTGGAAACTACTGCGGTAGAACACCTCCAACAGGCATTAGGTCTAAGAGCAACCTAGTGTATATTTATTTCAAAAGCGATGGCGTAAAGAAGATGTACAATGGTTTCAAACTAAGCTTCAATTGCAGCCAAAGTAAATGCGGTGGTGAATTTAACAGTGAGAGTGGTGTTCTTATATCACCTGGTTATCCATATATGAATCACAATAACAGGAATTGTGAATGGACCATTCGTGTGCCGAAAGGACGCCGGGTCCGTGTCGACATTGAAGATGTTGATTTTGATAAAACTGTTGCCTTCTTCACGCAAGGAGTGGCATTCTTTAACGGTATTGGTTTCAGTTCACCTTTACAATACATCAAAGCTAAAGATGTAGTACCAAATGTTATAAGATCGAGTGATAATACTATGAAAGTTTTCTTCTGGTCCGGGCAACCTTCTAACCATCGAGGATTTAAAGCAAGGTTCTCTTCAGATGAGCCTACAAGTATTTATTTATTAATACCATAGTACGTTATTATTTACAAATATTCTGTTTCAGTTTGTCTGGGAGATTTAAATCAAGATAGCGGAGTAATTCGAACACCGAATATCAGTGTACACACGTGTACATGGGATAGAGAACCGAAAGTAAACAAGCCACATGAAACTATAGCCTTGTCCATAGACACTTTTTCTGTAAATTCTACAGCTTGCACTTATGGTTTAAATACTATCACTGTTATTTTGGGCCATGACAAACTGAATCCAATCGAAATTTGCAGAACACCTAGCCATTCGTTAATTATTAGATCCCCGCTTCCAAAATTGAAAATACATGTAATATATATTAATTACATAATCTTCAAAAACTCAAATATTTTATCTTATAGACTCGCCGACCGCCTTTAGAAATATTAAATTATACGATTAGCTATCAGACTTATCCATGCGGAGGGGAATTCACTCATGGCTTTGGAACTGTGCAATCACCAAATTTCCCTAATAAATCAATCAACAAGAGTGAATGCGCCTGGATCTTAAGCGGTTCCAAAGATCAATCGCTTACAATTAATTTCCAGACGTTTGATCTGGACCCAGACTGTGACAAGAATTATTTGATTATTTACAATGGGCCTAACGCTAAATCTCCAAGAATTGGTAAATTTTGTAGTACCAAGAACCCAGGTTCAATACGTTCTCAAGGCAACACTTTATTACTTGAATATCATATCGAGAAGAACTCAAAAGGTACCGGTTTTAACGCCAGTTACGAACCAATTGTCAAAGGTTGCGGTGGAATTCTTCAAACATCAACGATTATCACATCACCACAATATCCAAAAGATTATCCGAACAATGCAGAATGTTTATGGGAGCTCAGGTCTAAACCAGGATATCACATTAATCTTGAATTCTTCGACCGTTTCCAAATCGAAACTAGCGATAATTGTGATAAAGATTATGTCAAGATCTATAATAAAATGGAACAGATTAACAATACAGATATTGCAAAGTACTGTGGTCGTAATATACCGCCTTCTTTCAATGCATTTGGAAATACATTATTTGTATTATTCAGATCTAATGCAGCTACCACCGGAACTGGATTTAAGGTATATCAGTTAAACTAAGAGTATTTGGGTAATAGCATCTTTGTTTCAGGCCAAGTGGAATTTGAAATGCGGAGGAACTTTTGAAGCAGATAATAAAATCAGATATATAACAAGTCCAGGATATCCGGAAGGTTATGGAAATGAATTGAATTGTCAGTATACCATCAAAGCAACCGGAAAGTATATAGAAGTTGAATTCGAAGATTTCGATATTGAAAAACCTGGAGGATTCGGTTGCATTTTTGATAACGTGACAATCTTGTCAAATCGTGACACAAAAAGAGCGAATAACAAACTCACTTTTTGCGGTACAAATAAACCAACAAAAATAAAACTCCTAGATTCTGTAACTATTACATTTATCACTGATAAATGGCTAACTAAACGAGGTTTCAAATTATCTTATATGGTTGACTGTAAGTAATTGACAATCGTATATATATTTAAATGTTATATTGTTATATTTTTAGCATGCGGTGGAAATATTACTGAGCCAACTATAATTCAGAAGGTTTCCGAGAAAGGATCTAATTTATGGATGATACAAGGTGTAACATTGTGCACTTGGACAGTTACGGCTCCACTAAAACAACGAGTTTCCCTAAAGTAACATAAAAACATAGTCAAATATTTGTATATCTTATTGTTTATGTTCAAGGTTTTTGACGATTGATTTGATGCACTCGATAAATTGCGGTATCCAGTACATTATGGTATATGATAGCAAATGGAATAAGTTGGCTAAATTGTGCGGGCACTTAGATGGCGAATTGCCTGTCATTCATTCGAATGATAATAAGATGATTATCAAGTATAGCTACACCAGTTTTCTATCCAGAACTACTAATTTCAGCGCTGCCATTTACTTTACGCATGGTTTGCATCTAATTTTAAGTTATATTCAAACAAAAGTTTACTATTGATTATGATTTCAGGCCCTGATAATGGTTGTGGCGGTAGCATAGTTTTGAACAATTCATCTACAACTATCAACACACCAACCCATTTAGATGATTTCGACTGTATTTGGAAGTTTGCCGCTACGAGAGATTACACAATCAAAATAGAGCTTCTTGAAATGCATGCCACTCCTTGTGCTGTATCAACCAAAGAAATCGAAGCAAACAACAACAATTGCTCGTGCATCTTATATGAAGTATATGTTTGTATTTATAACATGAATACCCAATTAAATTTATATGCTTTAGCTTCGAGATGGTTACACTTCTACTTCAGAACATATTGATACTGTTTGCAATGGTGAAATCTCAACGACTAGTACCTATTACACCTCTACCGCAAGCGCCTGGATGCGCATTGCTTCTCATCAGAAGGCAACTAAAGCTTCAAAGATTCGATTCACCGCAATTCCATGTAAGTAACTTTTTTTAAATGTATTAGCATATTAGCTAAATCGAAAATATGTTTAATTTCAGCAATTTGCGGCAATATGCATTTGACTGCAAGATCAACGCCTCAGTACGTAACCACTCCAAATTATCCAAACGAGTATCCAAAGAATATACGCTGTGTATGGCGCATATCGTCGGCTTTCTATACTCAAAGGATTCAAATGCGTTTCGTCGAATTCGACTTAAATAATAAAATGAACGCAGTTGATTTTATATCAAATACTTGTGACACGTTGGATAGGTTAGAAGTAGTGGATAGCACTGTAAGATTATATTCACCTCTTAACATAATACAATGATAATAATACAAATTAATGTTTTTTAAGAACAAAGCTTTCCATTTGGATTACGATATGATCTTTACCAAGAAGCCTTCTCTATTTTTATTATCAAGCGTAAGTCTGATTGAATATCAATATATTAGTTTATAACGATTTTTTTTAGTACAACGTTATGTTGGGGTCAAATAAATTCTGCAGCACGAACGATACTAATTATGAGTATTTATCTCAGACCAATAAAATACAATTGAACTTTTACAGTAATAATATGATAAAAAACGGGAAAGGATTTAAATTGGAATATGCTATTGCCGGTATATATTTATTTATATTAAGTAAATTTTCATTTAATTAATTTCATTTAATTGCATCAATTTAGATTGTAACCGTAATTACACCACGCTACAAGGGAGGTTGAACAAAAACTGGTATGTTGGAAACTGTTCGATATACATCACCGTTCCTGAGAACTATACAATATCTCTTTACTTCACACTCTTCTCCACGTTCTTCTCTGACTGCTCTATGAATGGATTACAAATATACGATGGGGATGAAACAAAAACCAAGCTCTTGGACGTTTGCATGACGGCTGTTCCTAGCCCAGTTTTCTCTAACGGAAACCAGCTTTATCTTAAAATGTATGGTACTGCCAAATACGGCGTAAACACCTTTGACATCACTTATACTTCGTCAAATGAAGGAAGGGGATGCGGTGGCAATTTGTACAATTTCAAGGGTTCATTCAGTAGTCCGATGTACCCGAACGTGTACAATCATAATGGGGAATGCACTTGGAATGTCAAAGTACCCTTAGGCCTTCAAGTGGCTATGAAATTCTCCAGTACGTATTTACTAAATGGTTTGTGATACAATTTTAATCATTACTGTTGCAGCTTTTGATATTGGTGGTACATGCGATTCAAATTACGTAATCGTGACAACTTACGTGGGAAAACTGGCCAACGAGAGGAAGTTCTGCAAAGGGGTTTGTTACATGATTATCGCAAATGATGTATGTTTATAATTTTTTGTTAATTTAGGACAACATTGGCACAATTATATCAACCGGAATTATAAATGTGTATTACAAAACTACTACCGGTTTGACTGGAACCGGATGGTTTGCCAAGTTTTTGGCTATCACTTCTGGTAAGATTACCTAAATATCATTTATTTAATTTTATATAATCAAATTTTCAGATATTACGGAAAAGTCATTTGAATCATCGAGCAGCAGCCAAAATGCTGGTGTTAGGATACGGTATTAAATGTTTACTGCTATATTTTCTAATATACAATTTATGTTTATCATTTTATCCTACTATAAGTTAATATAATCTTTCATGTGAACTTTGCGTTTGATTCATCCTTTTTTCTTTAACTATTATAAAAATGACGAAAATTTTTTTTTTCCTATAAACATTATACGAAGTTGCCTCAAAGTACACTGAGTAGCAATATACTACTTTACACGTGATCTCAAAATTGGGTAAATTAATCATGATAATAAGTATTTCAACTAACAATGTAATATTACAATATATATGTTTGTAAAATACAGGGTGCGCCACACACATTACAATGGGTGAGGGTGATCCGACCGAAAAGAGCTCCCAGTACAGAACATGATATATCAGGACAAGATAAAACAGAATAGCGAAAAAAAAAAAGAACAGTGATAAAACAGAACTGTATTAAAACAGGGCATATATAATTTAATTTTAATCCTATAGATAAACCAGCGTATGGTAAATCTAGTGAATCAAAACGAAATCCGTAGCATATTCTGTATGAAACAGGTGCAACCTCGCGAAGGTAAAATGCTAATCGGTCTTGAATCAATTCAGAGGCTATGTTTTGCGCTTAAATTAATACCTGGTTATCATCTTTGAGAGAAGATGATATACCTTTAGCACCTGGGGATGCGGCCACGTGGAAGTCGCGACCGCACACCCGGGAGGAATTAAAAATAAAATAGGGAAATTTGGGATAGTGGGAAATATTATGATGTAGGTACCTGAAACAGAACATAAATAATGACACACCCGACCCAAAACATGAAAATATACGTTTGCACAATCTATAAGATCGTATTAAAAAATACGATACACATTTATAATTACAATAGAAATAAAATTGCATTGCACATTGAACATCATTAGAATATTTAACAGGAGAGGAATAAATGGAACGTCCATTTTCTGTCTCATCTTTTATTTTTTTTAATCTTTTAATATTATTAATCCATATTTTATTTTTTAATATTTTTTTATGTATATATTTGTTTATACATAACATTTTTATATAATATGGTTTTCTTATTACTTTTTATATTATTTTTTCCATATTATGAATGTGTAATATGTAATGCATTACAGTATAATCAAGCGCCGAAAGCTTTACAAATTAAAAATATAAATTAAATTCCTCGTGGTAAAGGTATAGGGATATAGGGAAAGGATAAGGGTAAATGCAAACCGGAGACTCGGCGGTTCTAGGAAAGAATGGAGAGTCCTCGGATAGGTTATTAAGAGTTAGTAAGAGTGATTGAGATGTTAACTTAAAACTAAAGAGGAATATAGGAAAAAAGGGCGTATTACAAATACATCTTAATCTAACCTAACAAAAAAGAGAACTAACTTTTACAGCAAATTGCACTTTACTGTATTAATTAGTTCTTTAACAATTATATTATCATAACTGCCTAATTGAACATTTAGAATAATCAATTGCCACCTAATTATATAATTTGTCTATGGTTTTTGCTGTGAAATTCTATAGTTTGGTCCACCTCCAGAGTGCCCGACCCAGCAGCAAGACCTGAACCTTCACAGCAAAAAGGAAAAGATCAAGCGCAACAGTCCAGAGGTGAACTTTATCTGCTGAAAGAGAAACACGTGGGGATACGTTAGATTCTCACAGATATTACATAAATACAATACAACCGACGACAAATGGAGAATCACTCGAAATAATAAAGCAAACTCCAAAATTGATATGGAGTGAGTGGATCGTGAGCCAAGCAAAAGCTCATTCGATCCATACACAATGCCTAACCTTTACCAGGAAGTCAAGATGAAGTGAATTGTGAACTTCGCCCGAGCGAAGAGAAAACTAAAGTATTGAAATGGCAAATGGCTAGAGGAAGAAGGAAGGTGTTGAGACCGGCAGAGACCCTGTCAATAAAACTGACAAGTCTGCGGAATTACCGGCACCACCATAATAGACAGGCGGAGTGAAGGGAACCAATGCCAATCAAATACAAAAGATTTCTTTAATAAGAATTGAAGCTACTTTTAATTATCGTGCTAGTGTGCAACCATCTCACGATCCTGGGAATAAGTTAAAACTAGAATGAAAAAACCCTTGAAGGGTCCTCTAAGAAGGAGGCTAAGGGTACTAAAACATCCTTTATTTAGAATAGAAATATACAATCGCGCAGAAAGAGTCTACTGAGAAGTCTTGTTGAATTAAGACTGATTAAAAAAGAGTCTCTTTCTGCACGACTTTCGAGTGATTTTCTGGCACGATGGATACATTTGATCCACCCCTGAAAGCAGAAACATAAAAGCTGACAAATACGTTAGATTTGCCACTAGCTACTCATGCTTATTAATCATGACATAAAATCACCATAGAAATTGGAGAAGATTTAAAATGAAATTGAAAGTTAATAAATAGAAATTGATCACATTGTTTCAATTTTGAAATAAAATGATAATTTCCATTAACAAAATAATAAAAAAATTAAAATAAATTTGAATGTGTTTTGTAATAAAAAAATAAATTAAAAGGGAAGATATAGGAAATAACAAAAGTTTAATTAATGATTAAAATCGAAAATAACAAATTGAAAATGTTAAAGAAGATTTAACATTTTTTTTAAATCTATCAAAAACTCAGCACAATCATAACAGCAGCCAATCATTCAGATCATTCAAAATCAAAACACTTGCTCATACATTCAAACACACACAAATATTTGCGAGCTCGCTTTCATTTATACCAAAACACACTCTAACATACAATATTTAGATTTTAAAAATATGAGAAACTTTCCAAAACCTGAAAGAAAAACGAATTTGCTTAAAGGTGGCCAACCCCAATTATAGAATTTCCTGAACCATAGTTTAAATATAAAAATTCCAAAAAAGTAAAATTTAAAATATTAATGCAGATTGTAATAATCTGCTGTGTTTAAACATTTGTTAAGTAAGGATACATATTTGAAAATAATAATAATTAAGTAATTACAATTCAGTCTACAATGATTAAAGTATATTAAAGTCATTACAACTTCAATATAAGTTATACATATTACGAAAAAGAGGAAACATAATCACATTCAAATTAACTAAACTTAAATTGATTAAAATATAATCAATTAAAACAATTTAAATTAAATTGAGATCTTCTCCAAATCAATACTAATTTAATGCAACCTAAACTAAGACATGTAACTAAAACGGAAATACGGACAAGAACAAAAGGGAATAAATTAATTAATAATTTTGAATAGACGCATTAATTTAAAGATATAAAAACCTGAAAAGAATTGAAAATAATTTAAGAAAAAGAGTTAAAATTGGCGTAGTAATAATTGAAATTCTAAAAATCTGATAAGAAGTTAAGAAAAGATGCAAAATTAATTAATAATTTTAAATTGGCGCATTAATTTCTAAATATAAAAACGTGAAAAGAATTTAAGAAAAAATTGTAAAATTAATTAATAATTTTGAATAAACGCAGTGATAATTAAAACTATGAAAAATATTTTTAAGTTGAGTGAGGAGGGCTGATTGATGTTGAATCCCGTGTGGTATAAAATCACTTACTACTTCGATGTTTACTGAATCTGCAACTAATCGATCTTCGTTTTCTCGTTCTAATCACGAACACTCGCGAAATTTGCAATAAAAATACGCACAAACTCCCGAATAAATTAACAAAACTGACGCGCGATTCAAATACTAAGTGACTGTACTACCGATTGAAGAAGAAATTTCGTGGAAAACGCGCGCGAGTCCCTTGATCCGCTGTGATCTGTTGGTGGTTGCTCGCATATTTCGGATACGAGCAGCGACCTTAACGGATGCACCTCGAGAAGGTTTTAGCACAGGCGGTCTTGCCATTCCATGCGAATCACTGCGACGTGATAAACGCATAGAATGACCTGGTATTTTGAATACCTTGCATCCATATAAATAAACAAAAAAACATGGTTGGTGTTACTAACTTTTAAAGTTTTATTTCAATATGTCTCGATTAGTATTACCAATAAGAAATATTAAGCGATTGAGCATATCAAATGATGCTCATTGAATAGAATTTCAAATCACTTATGGATTAACTTGTACTGGAACATATTCAACATACCAACACATCCTTCGAGCTTGACAAATGTTTGCATTTTATAAGTCATTTACTGACAATCAATCGATTAGTCTATTTTAGAACATTGATTATTCCTTCAAGTTTGATTTAGCAATAATTAACATCACATTTTAGCAGACACACCAAATCATAGAGATAGTTAAAAATAACTGTCTGAACAAATTGACTATAGTTTATGAAGTTACAAAGAAAAGCTGTAGAAAAAAACATGGGATTTAAATTACTCACAATTGATGCGCATCGTCGTCGCTGGTTACGGTTCACAAAAGCAGCTTTTCAATTTCTATACAAATTAATAAGAAAACCGCGAAATTTCCTTATTTCCAATTGGAATGATGTTGACTTAAGAAAGGGTCGCGCACAACTACTTAATAGAGACGCCACGATCGTACCACCTGATACGACTTTTTTTTTGAAATAAAAATGCGTTGGTATCAACAATAAACAATAAAAAGTGGCGGGAAGAACGCGCCTATCCGGCATTTTTTTTATGCTTCCAAATTTCTAATTAATTAACGCGAATTTCTCAATTAAGAGTTATTACGGAATATATAGATTTTAACAGAAGCTACGCAATGGATTAGGGAACAAATTAGGAAAATTTCAATGCAATGCAATTTTTTTTTATTATTTTAAAATCAGATTAATCACTAACGTCATTTGATATATTGGCGCTATTAATTGATCCACAATAGGGAGTTTTTTTGAATTTAAACAACAGTTGGCATCACTTCTGTTTTTGCGTCGTTTCGTGGAGTGGGAGTTCACACACAGTTTGTTGCTCTAAGAGTCGGTTTTATAACTTTAATATTATTATGAAACTAGTGTTATGAAAACAACAGAGTTTTGAGAAAACCATCATCATATATCACAACCCACAACATTAGATTTAGCACCAATTAAAGGTTAG